ATAATTAGAGTAGAACGTTTTAAATTAAGTTTAAAAATTAAATAAAATTGTTTCCTTTTTCGAAAAAAAAAAAATAATAATATTCTAATTCTTAATTTGTGCTGAATTTGTGTAATTATTCAATAATTAAATCATAAAAATTATACTTTTTTTTAACAATTTTCATTAATTGAATCAAAAGAAATTAAGAACGTTTGATTTAATTTAATTAAGTTTGAATAATTTAAATTGATTTTTAAACATATTTCATTTCTGATATTGCATAAAAATAAATAAATTAGGTTTTTAATGTATAATTTAAATTATTTTTGATGGTTTTCATTAATTAAACATTATCTAAGTTTCGTGTCAAAGTAAAACTGAAATGCTGGAAAGAAATGTAGTGAAACTAATGAAATGGAGTGGAACGTTTTCTTAAATTTGACATAAATTTAAGTGTCTTCGAATTAGTTAATAGGTAGAAAGCATCGGAAACGGACACCGCACGAATCTATTAATCTTCTAATTACCTTTTAACTACGATACCTAAGACACGCATTCTTTCCTCGGCTTTTCCTCAAGTGCATGAGTCATTCTGGTTACAGCGGAGGCACAACAACAACAAAAATCGCCCTCCCCGTGACGTAACGTCACAGGAATTCCATACTCACACGCAACGTGAAAGAAGAAAATATATGGGAATCATAACAAAAAAAAAAGAAGAGAGGGCATTCATGATTTCTCTGGTATTGTACGTTCGATGATTTGGGTGTTTCCGGTCTACCGTGTAGACCTGGAGGGCAAATTTCCATTTTTCCACCTCCTCCTCCTTCGTCCACTTAATCCTCGAGACACTCTCTCACACAGATTCCTATCGGAATGTCGCCCGCACAACGAGAACCACAAAAGAATTTCTTCATTTGCATACGGAGCTCCGCTTTTTTCTCTCTCTCTCTCTCTTACTTCTTCACTGCCCGCAACAGATCAGAGACCATAAGCACACATGCTGCCAGTCGGAAATCTAAATAAATAAATAAAACGCGTTGTGCAATGGGGCATACATAACAACCTCCATTCGAACACACTTAGAAAACAGCATCGAGTTTGAAATAGATAGACACAATTTCTGTGTGGTTTCTGTGCGTCTGTGTATGTTACACTTGTCCGATGCCAAATTTAATCCAGGAAGAGCACGCAGACACTCATTTTTCCACGCTCCAATTGTGTATTAAACGACACTTGTCTCTTCTATACGCATAGCATTTAACACGTGTAAAAATAAACGAAGACAGATAGAAATACCTCTCGTCTCAGACGAGAAAGGTCGATACGAAATTCTGAACGACAAAGAGAGAGGTCAATTTGGAATTTTGGCTTTCTTCGGGTTTATCTGATCGAATGTGAACGTCGCTTTTGGGCAACGAAAAACCTACATCTTGATTGACGTTCCTCTCCTTTATTAAAAGCTTTGTATACAAAACACAATGTTTACTAATCGAGTTATTTCGTTTTACAGTTATCCAAAACATCGAAGCTACAAGATTTCTCTTGCGTAGGGTTTTATTGAATTCCGATCTAATAAAAAAACTCACACTTGGAATTTCTCTTAGATTCATGAAAACAAGCTAAAAGTAACAGTTTTCTAATGAATAGTACTCATTGTTATCCACTTCCAAATTCATATTAAATTGTTTTTTAATTTACTAGAATTATCAATTTTAGATTCTATATAATCATGTATAATCTAATGATTATATAATTTCGTTAAATATTTCTTAAATTATCTTCAAAATGTTATGTGCAATTTTTTTTTATTTAGAAAATCCAAATTTATACAACAAATTTAAAAAAAATGAATCAAGATAAAATTATTCAATATTTTTTATATATATAAGATGTATTAGTAAAGTTTACTATACAGAAATACCTCGCATAGTGCGGATTCTACCAATATCCATGACTGTTTAAAACCGGACTATAGTTAATCCGCACTGATTGAAGCCGCCTTGTATTTTTCTTCAATCAATTTATTTTCTTTTATTATTTACTTATTTCTACATATTACAGATTTTAATTAATATAAAGAATCTTAATTCTAATGCAAATTTATATTAAGAAACATTGCTTTTAAAGAAATTATGCAATTTCTACATTAATTAATTTCCTTATTTTTGGGCAGATGACTTGAATATTACGCAAATTAACAAATAAACAATTGCACAATTGAAAGAAACGTTTCTTAAAACCGGATATTTCCATTAACGCTTTTAGTTTTATTGGTCAAAATTTACGAGTTTTTATTGAGCACGAAACACGCGTTTACTTTCACCAAAGATTCAATTAAACCATAATTATTTCATTGGAACAAGTTCGTGACAGAAATGCCCCCAAAACAATAAAATAATCATCAATTACAAAGTCATTTCTTTACGTTTTATATCTTTAATTACTACAAAATTAGTGTTAAAAAAGTTCATAAAATTATATAACAATTAACTTTTATATTTACTCAAAAAATAATCTTCTCATTAAAACAACAAATATATTTTCTTAATACATTTTTATTGGTCTAAAATCAAGAACATGATGAACAAAATGAAGAACATTTTTTCTCGTTTTTTATTCAGTTTTTACAGATCTCACCTTTCCAACGCGCCTTGATACATCTTTCAGCAAACACAATACAATTAGGGCGTTTCATTTCAAAATTATTTCTGCTTAAACTACTTTTACAGGAAATAAATAAAAAATGTTACTCGAACATTCAATTAAAGTACCGAAAATTGAATTGAAATTTGGATTATATAAAATCTGTAGTAACTGCAGCATGTACCAGAAATTGATTTCTACGAACATAATTAAAATACTTTTTTGCATACGTTAATTATATTTTCAAGATTGGTGAGTCAGAGCAAAAGTTCTTAATTGAATACGCAAACGACCGTTGCAAGTAAATTGCATCTGATTAGTTCTTGTCAAATTAAATTGATAAATCGTCGTTAGTTTTTTTCTTCGTCGTTTTTTTTTTGTTCTACACCGCGACATTAAGCAAGAGGAACGAAAAATATTGCAAAAGAACGACGACCGTGCGCAGTAAACGGATGTTTCGTAATACCGTGACCAATAATAAATTGCAACTCATATCTAATCTAATTTATTTAATGAATGGTTCATATAAATTATAATTACGTAGATAAAATATGTTTGCAAATTGTCTACTTCTAGGCTAATGAAAGGAATGTAATAGATACATTTATTATATGAATTATTTTAATGTTTAAATTAAAAAAATATATATTAACAGTTTATTATTCAATTAAAGATTAATGATAATTAATGGATTTGTTATTTATTGAAAAGAGTCAACAGGTTTTTGATAATGTACAGATCAACGTGAAAATAAAGAAAGTAGACCCAATTATTCACGTTTTCTTTAAGATTTAGTGAATGGCTTAAAAGGTGTTTCCAAATTGAATAATACATATTTGTTGTTATAACATAGAAATTTATGATAAATATGGATTCATAATCAGTTTTCGAAAGATCACCTTTACCTTAGGTTGGAATTGATTATTTGAAAAGTTGTTACTTTGGAAAATGTATCCAAACACCCAACAAATTTAAATTTTGCTTTAAAGACCAAATGCTCTTTGAAACCGATCAAATATATATAAAAAATAATTGTGTTTACTACCGTATTTTTAGTACTACCTCAAATTTAAAGACGAAATATTTTAATTTTACCTTCGGACCATAAGACGCACCCAAAATTTGAGTCTATTTTTCTATGTAAAGACGCATAGTCCGAAAAATACTGTATATTTTTAGAATTTATTGCTCAATTAAAATTTAGATTTATTTGATATTTAAAACAACCATAAATAAGATTATTTTCTAAAGATTTTTTTACATCTATTTCTTTTAGAAAAATATCTTAAATAATATTCTTTCAATTTGTACACATTAAAAAATTACAATACAAATGATGTCAATTTCAAAAGATATTTCGAAGAAATTTACTTTTTTCTTAATAAATCGACTGCAAGACGTTATTAAAACAAAAACCAAATATCCAACATTAGATTCACTTCAAGGTTTAATAAATGTGTGGTGATTAATAGTTCCTGATATAATTATAAAATAATTGAACAAGTAAAAAAAAATGTTTTTTTTATTAAAAAAAATAATAATAATAAACAATAAACAATATATAATTAAATTAAAAACTTATCAAATTAATGAGATTGATAAAGAAATTAAAAAATAATAAATATATCTATTTTGTATTGAAAGAACATCATATTTTTTTTAATAATTATCAAAATTCAATGATTGCATTAATTTTTTGATTTAATTAATACTTTGTATTATTACTTCAATGAACAGAGTCTAAATTTGCGGTTTTAATAAGTTATGTCATTGAAAAAGCTTGTAATAATTTCACTCAACAGAACGTAATTCAATAAGTAAATTTATGTTATTTTTAAAAGCAAAAAAATCTATTAATAGAATAAAAGAATAATATTTATTTGAAATAATAATAATGTGTAAAAAGGGCATTGACCTATCTCTTTCAGCATTAACTATAAATATTGTTTGAAGTAGTTAGTTAACTGAAATATTGTATTACTTTGGTGAATGAAGTAATGATGTTATAAAGCAATTTAAGAATACATAAATTTTAATAAGCTATTGGGAATTGGATCGTTCTGGAACACTGTCCTTTTAGTCCCCTTAAGTGTCTAGTCCTTTATTAATAACCCCAGTGGGTTTCATATTTTCAGGAAATTTGGGGCCCCGACGCGGAATTTATATTTAGCCCTCGTGTGTCGCTAACATTTGGCACAGATTTCCATCCTAGTGGATTATATTAAGACCTAATAGTCCGATCCACCTCTTGGGCGCATCCCGAGGATTTATTTATAAAACGAACGCAAACGCAAACATCGCAAAGCGAAATGGACAAAAAGTTGAAAATGATGGCGATAATAATAATAAATGTCATATGAGTTATGTCTTACCTCCACGGTCCTTCAGCCATGTTTCGTAACGAGGATCAAAGATCGGCAAATCAAAAGACGGAAAATTACGGCGAAAAAAAAAAAGAGAGAGAGAGAAGATCCGCACTTGCACTGCAATATTTGGGTTAACAACAACAACTTTCTCCTCGCGAAGATTTGCCGAAGAATGTCTTTTTTTTTCTCGGTTTGTTACGAAATGTTCTAAGGTGTGTTTTTTTGAATCCTTCTTCTATTTTTTTTTTCTGTTCGATGAGGAAGGCGTGTGTGTAGGAGCGGCGTGTGTTGAGGAACTGGCGTCGCGACGCATCCACGCATCCGAGTACAACGCGTCGGGATGCGGCATATACACAATTGGTCCATTGGCTGGACACGGGCCAGACCAAACGATCGGAGCAAGAGAAGGAAATAAAAAAGGATAACACATATAAAAAATTATATATAAAATGAGAGAGAGAGAGAAATGGAAGAGTTGAAGTCTGGTGCGTTTCTCGTGTACGTTTCTGCATGCGTGAGAGATTTTTTTTTATGTATATATATTTGTTTTATTTTATATTTTGTTCGACTATAAATCACCCCTGCCCACGGAGGTGGAGAGCGAAAATATTCGCAGGGGGATTAAAAAAAGAAAGTCTCTGATGGATTGCGTTCCTCATTTAGAACCACATCCAAGATGCGTGTCCCTGAGGATCGGCTTGAGCCTAGGTAGGTCCGAGTCGATAAATAAACAGACCACTAAATTCTAAAACTGAATGCACGACTCATTGGAACTTTCGCCGGTTCGCATAAAGTTTTTTTATTTTTATTTTGACCTTTTTGCAGTTACGAGTTACGCGATGACGGTCTATAAAATGCTGAGCGAGAAGCCGGAAATTTGATTTTTGTTGTATTTCTTTCTATTTTCTGGGAGGAAAGTCAAGGAGGAATGTCGAGGTTTTCAATGAGTAATTTTATATAAAAATATATATACGAGGCTTACATGATAATAACTTCAAAATCTTATGCAAATATTGAAGTCAAAAGAAAAGTAGGAAATTTGGTTTTTGTTGTATTTCTTTCTATTTTCTGGGAGGAAAGTCAAGGAGGAATGTCGAGGTTTTCAATGAGTAATTTTATATAAAAATATATATACGAGCTTTACACGATAATACTTTTGAACTTCTTATGCAAACATTCAAGTCAAAAGAGAAGACGGAAATTTGATTTTTGTTGTATTTCTTTCTATTTTCTGCGAGGAAAGTCAAGAAGGAATGTATTTCTTTCTATTTTCTTGGAGGAAAGTCAAGAAGGAATGTGGAGGTCTTATATAAATATATATATACGAGCTTTAGAAGTGAATATTCAAATACTCAAGTCTCAATTATAAGTTATAAGTTGACGATCAGAAATACACTGAATGAATGTAAGAGAAGTCGGATTTTTGTTTTGTTTTTGTATTTCTTTCAATTTTCTGGGTGGAAAGTCAAGGAGGAATGATTAATCATATATAAAAATATATATACGAGCTAAAGTCTAAATTGTGAGTTATGTATTTATTTGATTATTACCACTTTTTGTGAGGAAAATCAAGGAGGAATGCGGAGCTTCTTCAATGAGTAATTTTATATAAAAATAAGTAACAATAATAACGAATAGTATCAGTATCATAATTTATAAGCAAGCCAATATATATAATAATTGCACTTCTGGATAAATAAAAACAAAATTGCATTTAGACTTCATAGACAGAAACAGTTCAATATTTTAAGTTAATGTACTTATTACCACCAAAACTAACTTAACTTTAATCATTTGTAAAAACTTAAATAAAAAACTTTAAATTAATAAATTCAACAAGTTTAATATTTTTTTATACAAGAACTAAATTTCAGCTTAGAGAATGACTTTATGTATATTTGTAATTCGATTATATTTTTTACGTCTTAAATATTACATACATAGGAAACACTTTTTTTACATCTTTACAGCAGTTTTTTGTAGGATTTACATCATATTTTGTATCAAATTCATGAAATCCAATAATATACATTCATTTCAGTAATAATTCAAAAACGACTGAAGTTCATATTTATTTTATTAATTATTCCTCAAATTAACTAAAAAATACTACAAATTTCCATTAAATCTAACACACTGTATAGGATTGAACATACAATATTAAGCATTTCTTTGAACTTCAAAACATCGAAAAAACTTTAATAGTATATTTTGTTTTTTTTTACAAGATCTATTTAATTGAAGTTATGTATAGAAAATCAATGAAAAACCTATAATTTTAATGATAAATCAATTAGTTTTAGTAATAATTTTAAACTAGACTCTTTCAATTACCTGTTATCAATTGAAAATAATAGATTAGTATGTTTTCTTGTTGGATAAAAATATGTACAATTTAATATTTGAAAAATCATTTAATGAAGAAATTAATTAAAAACAAAATAATTAACACATATGACGAAATATGTTATTATATATTTATACAAAAAAAAGGTAATAAGAACAAAGTGATTTATAGGCCTTTAATGCATTACAATTATATTTTTCATTGACCTTTGATTTGTTTTCCTACCGTTCAAACATAATATATTTCTTTGACACATTTAATAATGTAACGTACGTATCACTTTTAGTTTCCACATTTGTATTACTAATCATACGAATAAACAATTCCAATGATAATTTTATTAATATACGGAAGCAAAAAATCAGACTTATTTTATGCAAAGTGTGAACAGTAAATCATTGCATTTAATAACTAATATTGTAATAACAACAATAATAATAGGCAATTTTGCAATAAATGTGTGTACTGCTCCATTTCTGCGATATTCAACCTTCAAAGCATGACTATTTAGACTTTCTTGACTGATTTTAATAATATAATAAACAATAGTTAAGTAAAGTGTTGTCATACATTTTTATCATATTTATACAACCCACTTTGATTTACAGAATTTTTGAAGCAATATTTTCTTAACAATAATTTATATTTCATTTAAGGTGATGATTTCTAAATATATCTAAAAGCACCTAAGTTGAAAGTAATTTATTGGTGAAAAGTATTGATAAGTATTTTGTATAAAAATATCGCATATCTTGTTCATTCTTTTTACTCCGATATGCTTGGAATACTTAATGCTAGATGAGAAAGCTATGAAAGTGGGAATTCGAATTGCTTTAACATTGAGGGTAACTGGAGAAATCTACTTAAAATAGTTACCACGATGAAAATTTTACAGCGAAAAAAATCGAAAATTTTATCTTAATCGCTCTAACAATACGTTAGAATTTTCCAGAATTTTTTCCTCATGCGTCTTCAAGCATGAGGAACTTCTTAAGGTAACAGAAATAGAATGAAATAGTAGCAAATGCCAAGAATGACCTGTATGCCACATACAGGTGTTTTTTCTACCTATAAATAAACTTAAAATTGAAACGTTTTCCACTAAATCTACATTATGTTAACTTGTAAGTAATATATTTTCAGTATTTACACAAAAGTTATAAAAAAAAGAAGAACTTGTCACTACTGTCAGGTCATTATATTCGATTAATTAAAATTGAAGCATTCAAGATATATGTAATTAATCTATATAAACATAGTATTCTTAATTATATCTAATTAATAAAGTGAGGCAAGTTTTATCGGTGGCAATCGCAAACCCGACAACCGAAATCCCGACGTTCCAAATCCCGACTGTATCGAAATCCCGACGTTCGAAATCCCGGCTGGCTCAAAATCCCGACTACCATAATCCCGACAATCAAAATCCCGATAGTGTCTTTTATTATTATAAATTTCTACAATAACATTGTTATGATAGTCGGGATTTCGATATAGTCGACAGTGTCTTTTATTATTATAAATTTCTACAATAACATTGTTATGGTAGTCGGGATTTCGATATAATCGGGATTTTGATTGTCGGGATTATGGTAGTCGGGATTTCAAGCGTCGGGATTTTAATACAGCCGGGATTTCGAACGTCGGGATTTCGATACAGTCGGGATTTGGGATCGATTTCGAACGATTGTCGGGATTGCGATATAGACCCAAGTTTTATATATATAAGATTTAATGGTTTTTATAATCCATGAAATAAATTTTAAAGTTTTGTTATAAATCAAATGTGACATTATACAATAGTTGTCTATTGTATAAAAGCAATTTTTTAACTAATAAGTAAAGTAGGGCAAGTTTTAAATGTATGATAGCAAAAAAAAAAGACATTAATAGCAAATGGAAACAAAAATACTTTTATTGCATGCAGAGACACGTAGGATGTATGTACGCAATTACATAAGTTGTAGTTGTTTTTTGAAAAATTTGTATTTAATCAGGCAGTTTGGGGTCGTTGAGCCCACGCGTAATGTTCGTAAGCTCATTGTATGTACAGATCACTGCTCTAAAATTAGATGATCGCTTCGCGAAAAATCTCTGACCAACATCACACGCGCCACACTGTTTCATTTTAAAATCCAATATCCGATATTTCTGCCAGAAATACACTCTGCCGTCTCGTCTCGTACATACAGAATGGAAGCTTCCTCTCAAATACATTTTTGTTTTCATAAACCTTCGATTTGTGACCTTCGGGTCTTCTTAGTTTAAATATACATAGTTTTATTGTAGGACTCTCTGTTTGCATAAGGGAATTTATGATTGGTTCGGATAGACGACATATTATTATGCAAAGTATTAATTATTTTTTCAAAAGCGGACAACTAAAAAGGAACTCTCACTAAGATAACAACAGGCACACTTAAAACATTCGTAGATAAACCGTAGCAGATATAAGAGTGTTCGCTAAAGCACGTGGATTGTAATGTGACAGGGTAAGAATCGAATTCAGTATTATTTATTTATTTCGAAAATTCATCTTGAAAATGCTTTAAACAGGAATGCGCGAATATTAGTCACATTGAGCAATTTTCCATATGACTGCTAAAGTTTTATATATTTTATGAAATATAGGGGAGGGAAGGCACCAAATGATTAAATATATTTAAGGGAGGTGTAGTAACATCAAGTTGGGAAACCACTGCTTTAAAGCAACATGAGCTAGTGCATATTTATGGTTCATAAGTTTTTTTTAACAAATAACCTACACATTTTGTATAGATAACAACAAAATAAAACGTTGTTTATATACATTTTTAAATATTTCTACCATGAACTAAAACTATCTAAAACTACTTTGTTTTTGATGTTTGCACTGTGTTAAGTCGTAACTATTTCATGATTAAAACCATATTAACACTTATATAAATTATAGAAAAGTTCTGTAAGTACTTAATTAAATACAATGAAATATTCTTATTTCAGCCAAAAAATTAAATTCTGCAACAAATGTCAAAAGTTACAAAATCTGGAAAATTTCGTTTTAATAAAATATCAATTTTGAAAATAATTAGTAACATCATTAAATCTTGGTTTTTAATCAGTATTCTAATAAGTATATAAAACGTAAAAGCATTGCATTTTCATTTAAAAGCTGAACTTTAACAGTAAACATTAATTTTGTCCTTAAAAAAACCTTCGAAATTTATTTAAATTTTGTCAACTTATGGAAATTGTGAATACATTCAAGGTATACTCAAGGGAAGGGCTTTATTTTGACTTTAATTTCCGTATTTGATATTCTACTTTATCTATTTATCTTTGGATATCTATACTAGTTGCATTGTCATTTATTCACCCATTAGCTAATCAATTGCATAATTCACAATTAATATTTAACTAACTAAAGGATATCAAATGAAAGAAACCTTTAAATGAGATCTGAGTTTGAAGCATAGGTGGCGGTAGGTACTTGAAACATAGGCAACCAAATGTACGTGTAACCTTTAACCAATGAAATCTCAAAACGCGTTCAAAAACAAGCCTTCAACGGTTACTGGAAGCACAACGTTTACCCATGGATGTTTATTGTTAATATATCGAAGTAATTCGAGAAGTGCATCAAGTTTATAAACAATACGATAAAAAAAGCAAATATGGCTACACCGAACCGCCGTAAGAGGATTACTTTAAACTCGACTGCGCTAAACTCTTCAATGGAGGTAATTATCGTTTGTTTATTTGCTTGTATTACCATAGTGTTGCATTTGTTATTTTGATGTGATAAGGCTTTATTTTCACTCAATTTTGCACCATAGTTATAGGTTATTTATATTTTGTTTTTACCACTGTTTGCAGTACCTGAAACCAATGGATGATGAAGCACAGCGAAGAGAACGAAGGAGCATTGTTAATATACAGAAGAAGATGAACAGCTTTAATGCATCAAATGCTGATGCCTCTGTATCATCAATTGGTGATGAGGAAATCGAAAATCATTTTGATGTCTGTCTTAAAATGTATGCTGAAAATGTAAGTACTCATGTTTTCATCCTAGATCAGAAAGTAAGAATAGCATAGGTTAAAATTAATTATTACTTGTTTCAACTCACCTGTAAATGGAATTTGAATAATAATTTTCAGAAAATAAACATAAAAAATGCTTGGCAACTAAGGGTTATAGAATACATGAAGACCATGGTAAAATCTACGAGATTTGGGAAGGATTCCCTGAAAGTGGCAAGCAGCTCTTTGGATGTGAGCGCCAAAGTGTATGGTATTAGGGTAGATGATATATACACAGAAGGGTTTAAATTGGCTTCTCAGATGTCTCAAAATGCAAAGAAAAATGGTTGGTGTTTTAGTACATCTATTAATGTTGTAATCTGCAATGATCGTTAATTTTAGATGACGCTGGTGATCTTGGTGATGATGGTGGTCCCAGCGAAACGGGGGAGGAAGTTCCAGCCCAGAAAGTAAAGAAAAAGAAGAAGATGGGTTTGAACAAAGGCGCGAAGCATTGCGTGGCTAAAGATATTAACACCTTGGTGGGAAATGTGCAGAAAGGAGAAACGCCTCTTTTCTTAACGCAGACGAACGCAAAATTAAGTGCCGTCGATAATTATTTTACAGCTCGGTTGAATAAAGAACGATGTGGAACGAAATTTGCACTAATGTAGGTTTATAATGTTCTATTAATTATAGTATTATTTTTAATTGTTTTTTTTTGTATATGTTTACAGTGGAAAAGCCAATGATTTTGTCAATTGTGATGACACAGATGAAATCATGAATATAAATATGAAATTACTTGGTGATAATCAGAACGTTACAGTTGATATATGTCCGTGCTTTCGTGATTTTGCTCTTGATGTATGGGATCCCGAGAACGATGAATTGTATGTATTTAAATCTTTGGATATGTTCAACAGTTGTTAATGCTCTTAATTTAAGCTCTATCAACAAAACTATGGATGATTTGCTATTGGACGGAAATGGTTTGCCTATACCTGAGCTCGATGGTTCTATAAGAGACATATTTGAACCTGCAGGTAAATATTTAATTTTCAATATCGTTTTTTTGTTGCTATATATATTATTCCAATTTTTGCTTGTTGATATAGATGATCTAGTTAGTTCCGGTGAGGAAGAGGAAAACCCTGAAGCGCAGCTTGCGATTAGAGGCGAAGTTGCCAGTATTGTAGACATGAGGCCTGTAGATCAAAGTTCTTACGATACAAATGACTATCTCTATCAAAGCCTCGAGATGCCCGGTCGGAAAATGCTATCTCAAATATGGGCAGGTCCCAGTCATTGGAAACTGAAACACATCAGGCAAAGGCCATCGTTGAGGTTTTCCGGAGTTTCAGAAAAAGCCGCAGGAGTTCCTCAGCAGAAAAAGCGAACGAAAAAGGATATTGCACCGTTAGTGTTCAATGAAGACCTTTTGCCGCAAGTTGACTTTCAAAAAAAAGTGGTGAAGAGGAAATTGCGCATCAACGATCCGGAAAAAGTCCAAACCCCTATCAATTATATACCAGACATGATGAAACACCTCTGCAGTTTCATGATGAAACCTTTCGTCGCGGATTTCGGAAAGTTCAAGAAAACCCAACCTGCCAATGATGACTACGAAGTTGGCCCATACAATTATGGCAATCCCAATGACTCGCAGTATTGTCCAAAGAGTATGGAGGAGAACGCGGACGACTGTCCAGCCGATATGGATGTGATGGACAACGATTGCGGTGGTGGTTTCGAGGAGGAAGAGGAAATCGAGGCTCAGAACCAGCAGTTCATCGGGGAGAATCTGATAGATATGCCTGAAATGGTGCAGAATATAAAAATAAATTATGCAACGCATTCGAAGAAGATCGACATGAAGAAGCTTAAAGCGAATGTGTGGAAGGTGCTGATTAAGGATAAATCTAATGAGCAGATTATCACGGAGGATATGGCTGCAAAGGAGGCGCATAACATTAATTTCTCGGAGATCTACAAGAAGCTCCCGACCATGATACCAAAGAAGATGGAAGAGGAGCTGAGTTGTCCTTTAGCCTTCTTCGCTTTACTACATTTGGCAAACGAGCAAAACTTGAAGTTGCTTGGTAGCAGCGATATGACTGATATTATGATAGAACAAGACTACGATCGTTGACGATTCAGTTAGTATTTTTTTATTAAGTTATTGATATATTATTTTTTTATTGTTATTTTCTTTTATTAGATTGATGATTATTATTTCAATGAAATGTATGAGGCGCATTCAAAATTCTCCTTCATTGTCAAATAAATGTATTCTTCTGTACTATCTTTTGTCTTATAAAAAAGAATGTGTTTACCTCGCGATATTTACTATCGATTGATACGATTGTTGCTGCTGTTTTTAGACAACCTGTTGTACTGAATTCTCACCACTGTGACAAGCAACGTCACCGTGCCCTAACCTCTCCCGGGGAAAATTCGATTGACCGAATGTTTTAATTGAATTAATGTGTTATTATTGATTTTAATTTGTTTAGTGCGCGTATTAGTAAAGGAGGTAAAAGGACGCTGTAGAGCGTTATGTGGTGTTGTGATGTCAGACGCGGATTCGGACGGTGGAAATCAGGTTCCAATAGCAAGGGAACACGATAACAACGATGCTGATGACACGACGATCGAAAAAAATTTGCCAGTTTATAGTCTTAGTACAACCGCGTTCATAGAAATGTTGTATTTCCTGAAGGAGTTGACGATCCTTATGTTGTTGTTCGTCACCTACGCGGCCCTCAACAACATGTAACTAGCTAAACCATGAGCATAGAACATAGCTAACGAGAAATACACGAATTTTTAGCGAACCACCGATAATGACCAGGAATCAGGTGGCTCTTCCATTTTTTGAGGTCAATTCGAACATCAGGGACTTCTTCCACGGCGACATCAAACAAGCCCTCGCCCACACCCATGATTCGGAAGTCACCTTTGCTATGCTATATGCTCCATGGGATGCTGCAAGCAAAGAATCCCGCAGAGAGTTCGAAATTTCCGCCGGACAGTTGCGTCGCGTGGCCACTTTCATTGGAATCAACTGTTGGCTTCCAGGCAGTACTTGCAAAAGGCATTTCGTGAATGTATGTTTCTACACTTTTTCGCAAATTCTTCATAACATAATTCAACTCGTAATTACAAATTACAAATCACTTAAAAGTTTTCTATTAGAAGAGATTCAAACTATATATAAAGAATTCAAAGTATTCTTATATTACTTATATACAATACATCAATTGATATCATATCCAAAACTGATTTCTTCATTTTACTTAAAAAATAAATTATAAATTAACTGTAAAAACTGTTGACCTTTACATGACCTTATTTTTTTTGCTCATTTTGATATATCAATTGAAACATTGTTAATTATTTATTGATTTTCCTAAAATTGAAAATGTGTATTCTTTTTTTTAGGCGATTTATGGTAAATGGCCAATTTTTTTCGTCTACTTGAACAGCGGAAAAGTAATCGAGTATAACGGACCAAAAAGATCAGCTTACATGATTAGCTTTCTTGAGAGTATCATAAATCCGTATGTTCGTGTAGAGTCGATAGAAGATGTGTTGCCGCTTTTCGTTAAGCACGAGGTAAAAACGTACTTAATATTATATAATTGTTCCATCACTAAGACAATGTTACCAGGCGGTTATTGTAGCTCAGATTGACTGCTCTCCCGGTAGCCGCATGTTCCCTAAGGTCTACCAAGCATCTCTCTCCATGATATCGCAAGACCCTCTGAACATAGCCAAGTTTGCCATCATGTGCACCAAAGGTCGTCAGCACATGGAATTATTCGTATGGAATAACACTATTTCCACACAAGAAGGTTCAATGGAGCGCGACATGGTTTCCGCACATGCCATTGTCAAATGGGTTACAAAAAATGTAGCGCAGGCATTATCTTGGCTATCTCCAGTTGGCGTTAAGAGTAATCAACTGGCATCACAAATAGCAGGACCTACTCTCATCCTGTTTACACCATACAACCCTCTGTTCCCATCAAACGACCTTTACAGTTTGGTAAGTTGCTTGATTTTGTTTTTAGGAGAGAAAAAAAATGCATAGTAACATTAATTTTGCTGCAGCTCAAAATCATAGCAATCGAATACAAAATGTGCAATAGTACTGAAAGCATACCATTTTACATACCTCAACTAAAGAAAGATAGACTTAGTGAGTTGTTAAACAGTTATAATATACTTTATCATTATGAGAATGCATCATCTTTCAGAAAATCAGCAACAGCAGGAAATATCATTAGAAGAATGTATGAAAAAAAAAGGCAAGCGTGTTCGCCCTGCGACCAGCCAAAATGGAAGTTTTAAAACATCTATTATTGAAGGTAAATGTGCATCGTTCTTTATTTACGAATTCTTGTTGACTCTAATGTTCTGTATAGATGAGACTAAATCATCTATTAAGTTGATGGAATTTTGGAAGTCGCACCGCTGCAAAATCATCAGATTAGCGAACTACTATCGGAAACCCTTATACACAGACCACGAGAACACTGTGCGGTATTTCCATAAATACAACACTTGCTCGGGGAACAGGAGTCTTGCATTTAGAGCTATGAACAGTATGAGGTACTTTCACTTCGCACAGAGATTGGGTGTGGATACAGAGAAAGCTCCAAATAAGACTGTAATGGTCATTTTAAATGAGAAGGTTTTTCGATATTTCTCAGTTGTTTTTCTTTAAGTTAATATTAATGTCTTTCGTAGAACGAGGCCCATTACAGTTACCTTGGCAAAGTAACCACGGAATCGATAATTCAGTTTATAGCAAATTTTACAGGGACTGGTATCAACAGGGCATCGTTTTCGAGCTCCAGTAGTTTTGAGTATACGCACGTGTACAAAGTATATTCCCCTGAATGTTTAAAGCCCAATGTGATTTGTATCGAAGAATTGTATAGCGAAAATTACCTATCAACCATTAACGAAGTTGGAAAGGTAAAACTAAACATGTATTACTTATAGTTACTAAACTTGTAAGTTACAGAATGTAATCGTGTTTTACTACTCAAAACATTGCGCGATGTGCAGCGGCGTTGCCCATCATTACATAACCGCTGCCAAGATACTCGCAAGTCTGAAACATAAAATCAAATTCACAAGAATCGACGGTGATCTGAATTCACTGCCATGGGAATACACAATGGAAACGTATCCTACAATCATTTTGTTCCCATCCGTATCGTTAGTACAATTCGCAATTCTCGTAATATCAATCATTCTAGTTATTAAAATGTTGTAGGAAATCTGAAAGCCGAGTTTTAGCACCAGAACTGCCGATCACCGCTAATAATCTTTTGAGTTTCATTCTGGCAAATCTGAAGACTGCTTCAGAGCAGATGCAAGTTATGTGGGCCATCTGCTCCTTCACTAAGGTAAATACTGCGTTAATACAAAAGAAACTTTAATTAAAATTATTCTCTTATTAATTTAGAATCCTAAAGATCGTGAAGAATGCGTGCGAACATTGCGCGTGGAGAATATGGCTATAATTGGTAGAACTTTGAAGGAGTGGAGACTTTCGATTCCTAGAAGAAAGAAAAAGATACTTTTCAGGTTACAGCATCTGAGAAGTTTGCATTTACAGTTAGCTTTGGTTCCTAGCAACTCCTCCTTGGTCATCGAATTGCTGGATAAACTAGGCAAACACGAGAGGCCATTGAAAGCTGCACTTTGATCACTCAATTTACTAATTGAACTATAATCGTCTCATGGTACTTCAGGCATATATGGAAATGCGTTACGAACCAATTGCTAACGATAAAGTGGTATGCGTTACGCAAAACTCTTCTAACTTGTAGTTGAATTATAAGGAAGAATTATATCTATACATATGTGTGTTTCCGTAATCTGTGATAATATAACTAAATGTCTAAATGTATTTAATATGAAACCAAAATATATCTTTTTTGTTTATTTATAATCTGTTAAATTATTTCACATTTTATAATATATAGGAAGCTCCACACATCAAATTAAATTGTTCCAACTTATTTCGTGAAGTGAAAACCTTTTGGATAAATGCAGAGATCAACTTCGTAAATCGAAGATAACAAAGATTATTGTACATTAATAAAATATAGTATATATTCAAGTTTATTATAGTATATTCCATAGAGTAATGAAGTAATTTTAAATATTGATATTGCAACTTCAGAATGGTCGGTAATGAAGAAAGCGATACTTCTTTTAAGACAGCTGACGTGTTTTTGATTACAAATGCATTGACGAAAAGTTGCAAAAAAAGAAAGTGAAAAGGGACGTTTATTTATCTTTAAACGTTGCGGTATACCGGAAATGGAGTACTTCCGAAGTGGTCTGAAATCCGTTCTGGGAACACCCCAACCCGGAAGTCAGCCGACAGGTGCCGAAACCGTAAGTTTATCTTAAATAACATTTAATACAATACCATATTACACCTCCCTCGCAAAATAAACTTCTAATTATCTCTAAATGATAGTATTAAATAATTTGTTTGTTTGGTGATTTGTAATTAGGTTATGCCTTTCATGAATACTGAAGTATTGATTATTTTGGTTTCTAGGTTGAGAGATTAGTGAATAGGGTCACATCTTCTACTCTGCTTGATGACAGGAGAGATGCATGCAGGGCTCTCAAAGCCTTGTCCAGGAAGTTCAGACTGGAGGTTGGAGCACAAGGAATGGATGCTCTGCTTCAAATATTGGAATTGGATTGTACAGACTGTGAGATAATTGGATATGCTTTGGACGCTTTATGCAATGTAACGTCGCGAGAGTGTTTCGAGGAGGAGGAGGATCGAGTCAACGTGAATGTTGGCGAACAATTCACGGAAATGTTTGTGAAGAATACGGGTAACGTGAGTACGGTTCTTGCCTTTTTGGAAGAGTACGACTTTAGGGTGCGTTGGCCTGCTGTCAAATTGCTTACATCACTGCTGGGTAGCAAACCCAAAGAGATTCAAGACATAATTTTAGTCAGTCCGATGGGCGTGTCAAAGTTGATGGACTTGTTGCTGGAAAACAGGGAAGTCGTGAGGAACGATGCGCTGTTGCTGTTGATTCAGTTAACAAAGAGCAATGCGAACATACAGAAAATCGTTGCGTTCGAAAACGCTTTCGATCGGCTATTCGATGTGATTAGAGAGGAAGGATACACGGAAGGAGGAATCGTTGTCGAGGATTGCTTACTGCTCATGTTGAATTTATTAAAAAATAACACCAGTAACATTAACTTCTTCAAGGAAGGTTCTTACGTAGGAAAGTTGGCACCTATGTTTCAAGTGCCGGAAAACGTGGAGGAGGTCGGATGGAGTCCGCAGAAGGTATCCAATTTCCATTGCGTATTGCAATTGGTTCGTTGCCTCGTTGGACCTAACAATCCAGTTCAAATGACTTCGGCTTGTCAAAAGGCTATACGTAATGCAAATTTGCTAGAGGCCTTGTGCAATATTCTTATGGCTTCTGGAGTACCAGCTGATATCCTAACTGAAACTATAAGCACAGTAGGTGAAGTAATAAGAGGTAATTTGGCTAATCAAGAATACTTTGCTAATGTTACGGCGCCCAGCAACCCGCCTCGACCTGCAATTGTCGTGCTGCTGATGTCAATGGTCAATGAGAAACAACCATTCCATTTGCGATGCGCCGTTTTGTATTGTTTCCAATGTTTCCTCTTCAAAAACGAGATCACCCAATTGCAGGTGGTCCAGACACTCTTGCCCAGCTCGAATGCTGCCTCTCTTACCACTGGTCAACTCCTCTGCAGTGGCCTATTCAGCACTGATGCTTTAAGCAATTGGTTCTCAGCAGTAGCAATTTCGCATTGTCTGATTGAGAATCCTGCTCAGAAAGAGCACCTGCTCCACGTACTGTTAGCACCTAACATCGGTGCTCAACCAGTCACGTTGATTCATCAAATGACCACACATCTCCAACAAACGCTGAAGTTTCAAGCCAAAATCTCAATTTTGATGCTCCTTGCCATGTGGATGTCACACAATCAGCAGGCTGTTCAAATGTTCCTCAGCGTACCTGGATCCGTGGCTTTCCTCACTGCCCAAACATCTGCCGACGAATGCGATAACAACGAGGAACTGCTACAAGGTTTGTGCGCCTTCCTCATGGGAATTTGCGTGGCATTCAATGACAATACCGTTCAGAACTATTCCAGAGAGAATCTCAGCCAGCTGATCGAGAAGCGAGTCGGCATAGAGACGTACGTCTCTAAATTAAGCTTAATCTCTAGGAACGAGGCGTACGCGAAGGCTGCCAAACAGCCACAAATTAAAGCGAAGGTTTCTACTGATTTGCTGCTCGAATTCGAATTCTGCAAGCTGTTCAAGGCTCTCGAAAGCGTGATCGTAAACGCTCTAGGCGTTCAACGAGATTTATCTAACGGCATGTCGGAGCTGAGTTTAACGGCTCACGAAAACGCACTTCTCCTGCAATATAAAGAGTTGATCAGAGAGCAGGATAGGAGGCTGCAGGATATGCAAAAGGAATTGACGAAGTCGTTGGATGAGAAGAAACACTTGTTAGTTCAGATTGATGAATTGAAGAGCGCGAACGCGCAATACAAGGATGAAAACGTTATATACAAGGCTTCGTTTAGTAACTCTAATGGCGCCGATGAGAAAATGAAGCAGTTGGAGGCGGAGAATTGTGAGAAAACGTCGGAATTGGAGCAGCTGCGTAAAGACCAGGAAGATCTTTTGGAGCTGTTGACGGACCAGGATTTGAAATTGAATACGTTCAAGAATCGGCTGAGGGAACTCGGAGAGAATCTGGAGGACTCTGACAATTCCGATAACGACACCTGATCGGATTACTTTTCTTTCACACTGTACAGTTTTAAGTATTATAAAATGTATTTATTAAGAGCTATTAATTTTGTACATACACACAATATACTGTTTTTATGATTTTTAAATGTAAACCAGTCGATATAAACTATATACTAAAAAAAAACATTTACAGTCTTATCAATGTGTTGTCTCCATAGTATTTGATGTATTCTGCATCGGGTTTTTGAACGTCGTTATTGGAGATTTGTATAACGGATTCATATTATTATATTCACAACGCTCAAGCTGTTTCATGTGCTGAGCCCATTCCTTCTTATCTTTCACGTACGTGGTAAAGCGCCATATTAGTACCATTACTAATGGTGCCATAATCACACACAGCGAGACTGCTATGGCAATAGCGGTGACATTAGCCATCTGCAAGCAGTTCACCGCGTATTCAATTTCAGTGATGTTGCTGATCTCGTAGTTGAATTTCACCGTGCACTCCTTGTTATCCTTTATGTATCTTTTCAAACAATACACTAAAACAATAAGGAATTTACTAAAATAAATATCAAAATAATAAGTTTTTCAAACATATACTTGTTTCAGTAGGATTCTCAACTTCCGTCAACAGATATTTAGTCAACGGAACATCTGGATGTTCGTTTATTATAGATACCACATCATCAGCATAAACATCGCATTTGTTGCTACACTCTGCACATCGATCGCAATACTTTCCGCTGTACGTAATGTTTCCTTCAAGGCGACAAATGCAGTTTCCGCATTCACAATCACCATGTCCATCGCAAACTTTTCCTGAAGGCGCTATACAAGTATCCAATAAAGTCGTACAATCGCAAATATTTCCACTGAAATTCTCATCGCATTCACATTTGGACTCTACACACTTTCCTTGATCACTGCATACTTTTCCTCTGCTATCTCTATATAACACATTTTAGTTATATTTGTATTTCCTATTATTACTATACTATACCTATCACATTGTTCCCACTCGCAATATTCACCGTAGTAAGCATGATCGCAAACACACTTACAAGTATCAACATCGAATTCACCTCTGAAAATTAAGAATTGAATTAAACCCACTTAACTAAAAACAAAAAATATTAAACCTGCGATTGCATGTGGTTGAAGTATAAGTATCGTTGCTCCAACGTCCAGCATTTCGATCGCATTTGAATTCGCAATTTTTTCCAGTCCTTAAAACAATGAACATACAATAAACCAATTTTTTTTTAATATTGAGATCATTACCATCCATTTCCACACTTGCAGACTCCGCAAGAATAAATCCCACCGTTCTTGCAGACACCTTTCCTGTCATGACATTTGCAATTTCCCAGGTAGTTAATTTCAATTTCCAATTTTTCCTCAATGTTCATTTCCTCGATGACGATTTTAGCCTAAGCACGAACAATATTGATCATCGTATTCAATTACAACAAATCTTTTGTTATTTTTATTACGCTGTCTCCTTTGTATTCGTGTAGTTTGATCTCAACATTGAATTCGTACTCCTTCTCAATTTCGATGTTGTTGCACGTTGATGTGCGATTCCATCCAAAGCGTTTGTTGCAGGTCGAGTAGAATTGCACCGAAGCCACGTCTTTGTCGACCTCCGCACCTAATCGCACGTTCTGTATGAGCTCTGTGTATGCCTCTTCCACTAAATCCAGCACGTTTTTCGAATCCTTCTCCAACTCGCCCACTTTCGTCACGTCGTCCATCATGCTGTGCATCATCTGATAGTATTTCGAGATTTCTTTTTCAGTCACCATCAATAGAGTTATCTAAAATTAACAAATGGTTGACAACAATTTATAACATCAAAGATACCGACGCACTTTGTTTTCTCTTAATAGTTTATGAATGTAACTTAATGAAGGATAATCGTAATGAAGACCATCGTAGATAGCAATATTACCATCACGGTGCACTAAGCAACCAGATGGAAGGGCTTTGACTGTTCCTCCCAAAACACCATCCCCTGCAAAGTGGAGGTAACCATCAGTCACCAAAACAATGATTTTTCGCGAATGTGTCCTCCACATAAACTCCCTTTGGCAAGAGATCACTTGAGAAACAGCATCCATTCCTCCTTCCATATCATCTAAATTCGCTGTATATTTCACAGCTTTCACCTAAAACCGCTCACATAAAATCTCTTAGTAACACGAACATACAAAATCGCAAATTACTTGATTGATAAACTCATTGACATCATCCGTGAAGTTCAAAGTGTGCACGAAATCGAAACCCGGTTGACACTGATTAATAGCATCTGGGGTATTCCCGCAAGGATTGCTTAAGAAGCTTTCGGTCATCTTCATGTAAGGCATCAGTACTTTATCCGCGAAGTATCCCAAGGCTAAATGATAGGTCTCCGTCATTTGTAGAAGCTTCTCCGTCAAAGCTGTACCTAAAGTCTGCAAAGTTATGATGTGATCCTTCATCGAGAAAGTCAAATCCATTAGATAGTAAAGATCTAAAGGATAGTTTTTCGCTGCTTTATACCGCAAAGTCACATTCACACTCTGACCTAGAATAACATTATTTTAAAAATGAAAATTACATACATTTTCTTTTAAGTATCGCACCTTTTCGTAAAACTACGGATATCTTTTGAGGTCGTATTTGCACAGCCGCTGTATCAACACCCATTTCTGGTTTAGAGAAATCGTTATCCAATACAATCTTGATTTCTGGTTTTTTCAAATTAGCAAAATACTTTAAATCTGTGTCTACGACTTCTTCGCTGATGTTACAGCGAATTCCAGTGTATTCCTAATAATCATTGAGACAAATTCAGTATAACAAAACAGTTTTTAAGAAAAAAAAAAAACAAAACAGTATGCAAATATAACTTAAAAATAATTGTTCATTTAGTATATCCTTTGTAAAAAATAAATAATCAAGGAGTGTCTAGGAGTCAATTAATCAGTTATACAGGAAAATATGTTTATTTGCTGTTGTAATAAAACAAACAATTCAAAACATACAGAAAGTATATAAATTATATTTACACTTTTATAAAATCTATTTGCATATGACAATGAATTAGAATTGACTAAATTAGATGTAAATAAGTAATTAGATTTTGTTTTCCTACAAAACATTTGCAGTAGTATATTTACTGTTTTATGAAAATTAAAATAAACACTAAAATTTTAAATTCTGTTATTTTTTAAAACTTAAGTTGATTTAGATTTATTTGTATTTCTATTTTAAATATTCTAGATATGAGGAAATAGATGTTTTTACTAAAATGTTTGTTTCGAAATGTATATTTACCTGATCATAAATCCAAATACAGCAAGAGTCACTAGCTATGCACGTCGAGCATTCGTTGATCTTTGAGCAAAATTCCTTCTTCTTTCTGCATTCTGATTCATCGGCACCGCACAATACGATCGCCGCCAATAAAACTAACAATGATCTCAACATGATCGTTACATAAATGAAACTGCGATCGACAACGCTTCAAAAAAAATATATTGATAAGAAGCTTAGACCAGGTAGATGTTATCATATTTACATACACCGCAATCTACTACTATCTACAATACAAAATCAATATAAACCGGGAAGGGAAAATGCTTGTCAGTACATTTATGGGTAAGTAAATTTATTTCATTATACAGGTATAGGTACGTCCTTGGCGACCAGGTCTAGTACCTGCTCCAAGTTCTTGGACCAATTCTTGATGTTCTTGCTGACGGAGCACCACAGCTCTCCGTGATGTGGTTCTGAAGCCAGACATCTCCGTTTTACCTCCTCCCTCTGCTCCTGAGTTCCGTGCAGCTGTTCGAATCTGTACCAATGCGACCAGGCATCTCCTAGGTCAGGTTCGATCTTGAGCGTCCTGGCAAACCATTCCCGACATTTGCTGATCTTTCTCTCGGACCAGAACAGTTTGCTCACGGCTAAGAGCACGTTCGGATCGTGCTCGCATTTCTTCAACGCATCCACCTACACAAATTACATTAAACAATTTACCTCATACTTTGTTATTATCGGTTAAACATTTATAAATATTTAACTAATAAATAACCATAAAATAAATGGAATAAATTAAGCAGCATACGTACTTAACATACTAAATTTTTAAATAATAATTTTACGATAACTAATAACCAGATACATACTATTTCCATACATCAGTAACTTATTAAATCGCACGTCACTTGTTTAAATTTACTTACAGATTTTGTTTTCCGCTGAGGACGAGGCTCCATGAAGATGGATTCGGCCCAAAGGACACCGGAAGTTGGACACTCTTGCAGCGCTTTAGCCATCATCGCCATAGCAACATCCTTGAGTCCTGCCCGAATTTCAACGCGGATGGCCTCTAACCATAGAACGTCGTTCTTGGGATTCTTCAATCTAGCCCTTTCCAACACGCTGCGCGATTTAATCAAGAGATTGCGATTCTCTTCCAGCCTTGAAAGTAGCAACCACAGAGGAATCGATGATGGACATTTTTTGATCTAAACATATAAAATTACATAAACAAAAATAACTATAATTTAATTGAAAAACGTACGCCTTGGTTGTATGAATCAAACGCCTTGCTGGGATCTTTGCGCTGCTCGTAAATTTGACCCATCATCATCCAAAGTTTGGGAAAGTCTGGGAATACCTTCAAAGCTTCGTCCAACAAATTAAGAGCTGCATTTAGATCGTTCAAAGACCATTCCAATTTTGCGCTCTTCATCATTACTTTTGGAGTTGGAGCCGATCCTCTTGCTTTAGCCAACAGTTTTCTGGCCCTTTCGTATTCGTGATTTTCGGACTCCAATTTGACGGCGGCCAACCAGATTTCTTCACTGTTTGGATTAGCTTGGAAAGCCAAGGAGAGAATACCACGAGCTGCTGGTACGTCCCCTGCGAGCCATTTGCTTTTGGCTCCCATTAACCAAAGCACCTAAAAAATTCCGTATTATATAATAAATTAATTTAGCTTCAACTATGAAGAATAATAATTAAAATTACCTCGCTCTTGGGGCAATGCGCAACAGCGCGCTGCAATAAAGTCTCCAAACTCTCTCTGGTTCCGTGAGTTTTTTCCAAGTGAGCAGCTCTGAGCCAAATTGATTTTTTGGCCGGGAAAGTAGCCAAAGCGTGAGTGTAGATGGCCCTTGCACACTCGAAGGCACCTTGATTGATACACTAATAAAAAAGAAATAATATTAGAAAACTAATTGTAACACAAGATAAAAAAAAATACATGTTCAGCGTCCTCCATCCAAGTATGTTTTTGATCCTCTGGCTCCACTCCATGACTTATGATAGATTTAATGATAGCTTTGCAGCAGTGAACGTGTCCACCTTTCTCACTCTCGATGGCTTCTTTGAACCAGTGTTCACGATTGATTTCTACGCCGTTTGCGCTCAAAGAACTTATTGCTCTTTCAATGATTTTCTCAACCATATGGTCATTACCTTAAAATATCATTATAAATACGCGTTGCATTTCAATTTTTTGTTAGTTACCATTAGCTTCCTCTAATTTTGCTGCAGTAGTCCAAATTTGCTTATCCGTTGGTACATTTTCTCTGGCTTTGTTGAGCACTTTGCGCGCATTCTCGTATGTCTCCAATCTGGCTAAAGCCAACCACAATTCCACAGAAGTCGAACAACATTCGACTGCGCGGGATAACAAGATCCTGGCATCTTCGGGATTCTCCAATTCCACAGCAGCCTTCCACAACCTTACCGAATTAGGAATGTGCTCCAACGCCTTTCTGTACACCCTCCTCTTAGCTTTAGTTTCCGTTTCCAAATCAGCGGCTTTAATCCATATGCGAACCTAATAAAATTAAAACACTTAATAATATTTTTCTCAGAGAATTAAAGGAAATTATTACAGAAGTGGGAATATGTCTTGCAGCTTGAGCAATGACAGCCTTAGCTGTTTCCGGTGGCTGCAAACGAGCGGCTTCCAACCACAAATCTTCGCTTTGCGGATTATCTTCGCAACCTTTCATGATCAAATTTCGAGCGGCTTGAACCTTTCCTGTAACTTCTTCTAATCTAGCACTGGCAATCCATGCAGGTGGATGGTTGGGGTTCGTCTCCCTTACAGATTTCAACAATAATCGGGCTTTCTTAATATCGTTTATGTCACCGCCGTAAGTGGGAATCATGGATTGTAAATCTGTTAAGTAGCCTTTTGGATCAACTACTGTTTGTCCTGTTACTGAATCTGAGACTTGCGATAACTTGACGTTCATCAAAGTATTTCTGGCTTGTCCAATTTTCCTCAAATCCATATCTCCAGTTGGCGTTAACATGCCTGGAGTAGTTGCACCAGGAACCATGCTTGCTAATCCCGAACTTGGATCAAGTGTAGATGATGATTCGCCGCCTAGATTCCTCGAAAGCACACTATCGGGAAGCGGTGTAAACTTCTCGGCCCTTGGATTTCTTTGTTTCCTGTTTCGCGCATCTCCAACTTCTGGTACGTTCTTCCACTCTTCATCGCTGACCATCACCAGATCCCTTTTCAGATCTGAAAACTGTTGCTGGATTTTGGGTCTTTCCTGTCTGTACCTTTCCAATTCCTCCCTCAATCTTTTCTCCCTGTACTCCTTCCTTTTCTCATCCATCCTTTTATCAATTGCCTCATATATAGCATCAGCTTCTGCATCATCTTTATCATACGGATCTTTGGAGAACAAAGATCCACCATATCCACTGAACTCATCATAATTGGAATCATTCAAATCTTCTTCTTCCTGCTCCTCTTCCTCATCTTTCTTCTTAGTTCTTTTAGCTGCAGGTGGTGCATGCCTGTCATCACTATAAAAAAAAGGAATGTATTACTATATAGAAATCATTCATCTTTGTATACTTACGAAACATCATTTGCATCTCTGGCTGGACCAATATCAGAACGTGTTGTGAAACCAGTGGCTCTGCAATAATATAAATAACAATTAGTTTGTTGTTGTTATATTTAATGTATTGTCAACAATTTACCCTCTGCCAACACCGGCCACATAGCCCAAAGGAGCAGGAACTCCTAGGAAATGCTTTTTATTTCGATTTGTGAGTGCAGGTGGATTTGCCATTGTTTAACATTAATGTCGATATATGTAAAACACTAAAATTACAGTACAGTACCGAATGCAATACAATACGTTTGTAGGTTATGTTTATTATTGTTTTTTTTGACAATATTTGGAGTTCTAGTTTCATCATATTTCGTTAATAGATGGCACTATATTATGCCAAAAGCATTTTTTTTCCAATTTTACAGCATTCGCACATCTTAAAAAACATAAAGGAAACTTGAAAATTTGATAAAATTTTAAAAATATTTTTGTTTATTAGAAGAGAGTGAGAGCTAAGATGTATACTTAGAAGGAATAGAAGAAGATTTATTAAAGACAATAAGATTTAGAATGAAATAATGCAACAATGCTCAAATGTAAAGTAGATAATTAACTGTGAAATATTTTCAAATTTGAAATTTTTAACTTTTATGTAGGATTCCAATAAGAAAATTGTAGAAAACTACCAACATAACTCTTGCCACCTTAAATTAACGTCAAAATAAATAACACAGGTAGAATTGATATGAATTTAAGGTTAGGATTAATTGAGGCGGTGTTTTCGTTTAGAGATGCGACATTTAAACTACCTGGTATTAGTTGTTATCGCATTGGGGGTGGAATGCACTTTGACTCCTAAATCACCGAAGAACAAAGAGAAAGAGGAAAAACACAAAGTAAGGGTTGGGCCCCAGAATTACTCGGTGTTCGATAGGAATTTAATCGTCGAGAATCCGACGTCCAACGAAATAGTTGCTAATAATCAGGCGTATAACAAAAACGTCGAAAAGCGCTTCAAGGGGCTAGTTCTAGGCTATGTAACGCCGGTAATAGCTCAAATTTCTTAAATAGTTTAACAAAACTATTACTCTGCTGTGTACTTTTTGCAGTGGAACAACCATGGTTATGATGTAGCAAAATGGTTTGCAAAGAAGTTCACACACATAAGCCCAGTATGGTTGCAGATCAAGAGGAAGTCAGAGCAAAAGTACATTCTGACTGGTACCCATGATATTGATGCCAAATGGATGAAAGAAGTGAAGGCTGTGAATCCAAAAGTTAAATGTATAATTGTAAATGTTGATTATGAATTAGTTATCACATACAAATTACATTTTTAGTGGTACCACGCGTCCTTTTTGAAGGATGGACTGGTCAAGAGTTCATCTCGTTGTTAACGAGAGAAGCCGAGATTGCAGCCTTGGCGAATACTTTGAACTACGCGTGCAAAAAGTACAAATTGGATGGTTTCGTGTTGGAGATTTGGTCACAGTTGGCTGGAAGAGTTAAGCACGATTTGGTCGTGAACATGATTAACTTAATTGGTTGAAGATTGTTAAGCTTTTAAAATACATAGTAGTAATATTTGATTGTTTTAGGAAAAAATATGAAGGGGGCTGGTTACGAAATCATCTTGGTGGTTCCTCCCAAACGCGGCGAAGAGTATTACTTCACCGACGAGCATTTCGAATTGTTGCAAGATTCTGTTACAGCTTTCTCACTTATGACTTATGATTTTTCAACAGTAGGAAGACCAGGTTTTATTTGACTGTAAATTCAGATAGGGATGGTTTCATTAATTACAATTAATGTTTAAGGTCCTAACGCTCCTCTAAACTGGGTGAAGAATTGCGTGGAATCGGTATCGACAAGCCCACAAATTCTAACTGGACTGAATTTCTATGGCAACGAATACACCCCATCTGGGGGTGGACCAATACTGGGACACGATTACATCAACATGCTTAAGAAGCAGAAGGGTCGATTGCAGTACGACTCCCGATCGGCAGAGAATTACTTCGAAGTCAAGGAAAGCAATGGAAAACATATCGTCTTCTATCCATCGCTTTACTCGATCCAGAAACGTTTACAAATGGCTCAAGATCTCGGCACGGGCATCTCCATTTGGGAGCTCGGTCAAGGACTCGACTACTTTTATGATTTGTTATAAAAAAAAAATGATGTCTTAAATAAAAATAAATAAAAAATACTGACTTCTTTTTCTTATCTTATTATTGTTTAAGTAACACCACGATCTCAGTAAAATGCTGATTCGATAGTTTCGTCTAAAAGTAAACTAGTACAAAAAATGGCAATTATACTAATAATTAGATTAGTAATATCATTTTTTATCACATATTTTTAAACCTTTTTTTATTTAGATTATTTGTTAGAAACAATTAGTTTTAAGCGATAGGACAACTTAATTATAATACATTTTTAGTGCTTTAATTACCATATTGGAATAACAGAAAACGGGTATATAAGTTGAGAGTTTTTAGTAAATATCCACATTCATTAGCGGATGAGTCAAGTTTCTGTTATTTTTAAAACCAAGCAGCAACATGTTGCTAACTACTTTACCAGTAATTTCTGTTATGTAAGTATGATAAAAACTATTATCTTAATCTCTATTGAATAGACATTTCGCTATTATCAGAATTGCGTTCGCTGCGGGAGCCGATTATAAATTCCCTAATAATTTCAAATTTGGTGTAGCCACAGCTTCTTATCAAATTGAAGGTGGATGGAAAGACGGAGGTAATTTAAAAAATTAGAAAATTTGTAGTTTGTTTATAATTAAATTGTTTATTAGGTAAAGGGGAAAGTATTTGGGATTATCAAACGCACACGTTCCCGAACAGAATTTTAGATGGAAGCAACGGAGACATAGCATGCGATTCTTACAACAAGATTGATGAGGATATTAGGAATTTGAAAGCTCTGAAAGTCGACTTCTATAGGTTTTCTATATCCTGGCCTAGGCTTTTACCTAGTGGCTTCGCCAATGAAATCAGCGAAGATGGTGTACGATATTACAACGAACTCATTGATAAGCTGATCGCTAACGGTATTGAGCCCATGGTTACTCTTTACCATTGGGATGTGCCTCAGAGTATTGAAAATCTTGGTGGATGGACGAATCGGGCTATTGTTGATTATTTCGGCGATTACGCTAGGATCTGTTTCAAGCTTTTTGGTGATCGTGTGAAGACGTGGATCACGATCAACGAACCATACTCGATCTGCGAATATGGCTACGGAAACGTCATCACGGCACCATATTACAATTCCACTGGTATAGGAAGTTACGCCTGCGGCCACCATGTAATCCTGTCGCACGCCAAAGCTTATAACATCTATGCATTCGAATTCAGGTTTAAGCAAAGGGGACGCGTTGGCATCACCGTTGAATCGTCTTGGTGGGAACCTGATTCAAATTCTAAAGAAGATAGAACAGCTGCAGAAAACATGATGCAGATGTATGTAAGTATTCTGAATGATATTAAAAAAAAATTGAACGATAATTAATGAAACCGAATCAAGTTCGGTTGGTTTTTGCATCCAATCATCAAAGGAGATTATCCTCCGGTGATGAGGCTACGCGTCGACAAGAAAAGCAGGGAGCAACACTTCCCTCGCAGCCGTCTTCCACGATTCACCATTAAAGAAATTATAGAAATCAAAGGAACCATCGACTTCTTAGGGTTGAATCATTATACCACTTTCATGGCAAAGAGTGGAACAGATGGACCCGTTCCTTCCAACATCAACGATGTAGGAGCAATCCTTTATCAGAAACCCGAATGGAAGCAATCGGCTCGCGAAGTCTTTAGACTTGTACCATGGGGTCTTCGAAAATTATTGGTTTGGGTGAAGAAGGAGTACAGGAACATCGAAGTATTAATCACTGAAAACGGATATGCCGGAAAGGAAGATGAAACTACTAACGATATTGAACGCATCGAATATTACAACGTAATTATAATCATAATTAAATACACTATAAAATGTTTAAATATCCATGAAATATTTCAGTTGTACTTGACTGAAGTTTTGAAAGCCATCCACGAAGACAAGTGCAAAATTACTGGGTATACGGCTTGGAGTTTCATGGATAATTACGAATGGACCGATGGTTATACGTATGTTATTTCATAGAAATTAGCAAATAAAACAAAAAATAAAATACTCTCTTTCAGCATGCGTTTTGGGATGTATTATGTAGACTTCAAGGATCCGAACAGGACGAGAACTCCGAAGAAGTCTGCCTTCGTTTACCAAAACATCGTAGTAACTAAGAAAATCGATACATCTTTAGATCTTCATGAATTCTTACATTAATGTTTAATACAATTTTCAATGTATTTCCTCCTTTAAATTGTGGTTTTACCAAGATTCAATTATTTAGTGTATTTAAATAAATGAACAATGTAGATTGATTATATAATCATAAATTGTAAGTAATTAAACATATAAATATAAAAACAATTAATGCGTCAAAAGGTGCTTGGAATTTATTACAATAAGCCTTTTGTATACTAAAACATTATATATGGCATTTTTATTATTTAATATAAACAAATATATCAGTTATTCCACTGTATATGTGTCTTTTAAAATATCTACAGCTTAAATTCAACTTCTTTGTACAAAATAAACTCAACTGTAGAAGGTCGTCTGCATTCTCCCATCAATTCCTTAAATAAATGTGACTTTAAATCTATTGAACGTTTATTATAAAATCTAGTTTTTTTTATAGTTAAATCAAGAAAAAAAGTATCCTTTGTCTGGAAAAAATAAATGTTGCAATGTGTATTCAATAACAATAGTCTTATCTGGTAATATATGAAAATAATTTACGTAAGATTTACAATTTAATCCTTGAAAATATAAGCATAAATGGCTGCGATTCTCGTGATATTGCAACAGTTGTAAGTAAATTAAAAGATAAGATAGAAAATACTTTTATATTTAGAATTGCAGCTGCGATGGCTACCTCGTTGAAATTTCCAAAAGATTTTAAATTTGGTGTGGCCACGGCATCTTACCAAATTGAAGGAGGATGGAACGCAAAAGGTATGGAAATTAGCTGTAATTTGTATAAATAATTAACTATTCTTTTATCAGGAAAAGGGGAGAGCATCTGGGATTATCAGACGCACACGTTTCCGCACAAAATCTCTGATAAAAGTAACGGGGATGTATCGTGCGATTCTTACAATAAACTGGATGAAGATATCAAGAATCTCAAGCAGCTTAAAGTCCGCATGTACAGGTTTTCGTTGTCTTGGCCCAGATTGTTGCCAAGTGGATTTGCAAATAACATAAACGAAGACGGAGTCCGTTATTATAATGAACTTATTGATAAACTAATTGCAAATGATATTGAACCAATGGTAACTTTGTATCATTGGGACTTGCCGCAAAGCATCGAGAATTTAGGAGGATGGACGAGTAGGGCTATAGTCGATTATTTCGGAGATTACGCGAGAATTTGTTACGAGTTGTTTGGGGATAGGGTGAAAAATTGGATAACCATCAATGAACCGTACTCGATTTGCGAATGGGGCTACGGGGATGGTACTATGGCTCCGTATTACAAATCCATGGGTATTGGAAGTTACGCAAGTGGACATAACGTAATCCTTTCGCACGCTGCAGCCTACAACATTTACAACTCTGAGTTCAGATCTAAGCAAAAGGGTCGTGTAGGAATCACAGTCGAAACGTCCTGGTTGGAAGCCGATTCTGATACCAAAGAAGATCACGAAGCTGCAAATAGGATGATTCAGATGTATGTAAGTATTTTGGGTTTAAAGTAAATTGAAATGATTAAGAATTAATTGATATTTTCATCAAGTTCGGATGGTTTCTTCATCCCATCATCAAAGGTGATTATCCACCAGTGATGAGAACGCAAGTCGATAAGAAGAGTAAAGAGCAAAACTTCCCTCGAAGTCGTTTACCTCGCTTCAGCGCAGAGGAGATTTCGCAGATCAAAGGAACTATCGACTTCTTAGGTTTGAACCATTACACCACGTTCATGGTGAAAAATGGTTCAGTTGGTCAGGTTCCTTCTAATTACAACGATATGGAAGCTACCAGGTACCAGAAGTCAGAATGGAAGCATTCGGCTCGGGAAATCTTCAAGCTAGTTCCTTGGGGTCTGCGAAAGTTACTAGTTTGGGTGAAAAACGAGTACGAAAACATCGAAGTTATCATAACTGAAAATGGATATGCGGGATTGGAGAAAGAAACGACTGAAGATTTGGATAGAATCGAATATTACAACGTAACTATATCCTAAAATATCGTAAATAATTGATAATTTCAAAACATTTTTCTTTAGCTATACCTGAAAGAAGTTCTGAAAGCGATTCACGTGGATAAATGTAATATCACTGGGTACATGGCATGGAGCTTCATGGATAATTTCGAATGGTCTGATGGATACACGTACTATTATTTATAAAAAAAATATCAACTAAAAATTAACTAATGTTCTTTTTAGATTACGCTTCGGAATGTATTACATTGACTTTAAAGATCCCAAGAGAGAGAGAAAACCAAAAAAGTCTGCTTTCGTTTATCAAAATATTATCGTCACGAAGGTAATCGATGAGAATTTGCTTCCAAATACATTCCTACATTAAAAATAACTTCACAAAATGTAGAAATCCAATATTTTTTTGGATCCATAACATTAAGATGTACTGTTTTTATAAAGATCAACATTGTTCAACAAATTTTGTAATAAGCTTATGGAAATATTCATGTAATTGTTTACCAAAATATCATAGCTATAAATAATAATTTCAGTTAACAACAGTAATATAATAAGCAAAAATAAGAAAGTAGCCAAAATATCAAAAGTAACAGAAAATAGAGGATACAGTTTAACTGTAGGCTAAAATTCCAGTATTTTCATGTTTTGAAAGTTGAATTATTTTTTTATTTGCTAAGGTATCTTTTTAAATTTTTGAATACATGTTAACCAATAATAATCTACAAATTGAGTTGCTCACAGGAATCTAAGCAACCAAACCAACAGCAGTGCAATATAATAATAAATTAAAAAAAATACTCAATCAATCCACCATACATTTATTGAACTTACAAACAACGACAATAAATTCCATATACATATCCTGTTTGCGCATTTTTCCTTTCTCGTATCTTAAATTTGTTTAAAAACTTTCTGTTAAATTTCATTTTCATCATTTAATATTATAATTTTGATATACACTTCCACTTTCATAGTAAAATCAAACAGTTTCAAACATAAGACTCGCTCGAGCAATTAAACGCAACAAAAAATTTATTTACAACAAACTGTTAAAGTTCAACGTTCTCCCAGCAAAACAAACGTCGAAACCGAACGGAAAATTCAGCGTTGAGGAAAAAAAAGAAATAACAAAATATAAATAAGAATGTTATAATAAGTTTAAATAAATTCTTGGACTGTCATCGCATCGTATTGTTTGATTTAGTAACAATTAAAAGAGAAAAATAAATCTAGTAAACGGTTTCATCCCTCATTATTATTATTATCATCATCATCATCAATTTCTATTACTGTCTAGTATTATCGTATTTAAAAAAATATAATCCGAAAGCGTTCATTATATTCTTCGTATCATCATCATCATCATACTACTAATGGCAGGGTTCCTTGCCACGATTTGTATCCTGTCCAAAACACACTTGTTATTTTCATTTCAGTTATATTTAAGTAAGTGCATCGTACGCGAAAAGCATACAATAGTTACATCCGTCGGAAATTTCATCGGTCGATTCGGAATCGGAGGAGACTGGGAGGAAAGTAACCATTTTTTAAAAAATATATAGTAATCTAAAATATTAAGGGAAATGAATATAATTAAACGGGTCCTGAAACAGAAACGTCTTGATTAAAACCTTATATTTTTCATTGGTTAAGAAAGGTTACTTACGCTCTAATGAGACACGCCCCTCGGTAGATTACACATCTCGCAGTTGGAGATATCCGAGGAGTTTAAGAAGGTGCAGTAAGGGCACGTCCATTGAGGCCCACTGGAATTCGTGCCTGCGTTCACGCTTCCCCCGGCAACGCTACCAGGTCTATAAAAAAAGTAAATTAGTATCATCAATATCCGCAATTGGTTAGATATTGAATAACGTACCTGGAATTAGGTGGTGAACTAGCTGCGATCAGCTGTTCCAGGGTAGCCCACTGTTCGGACCTCGCCCATTGCCTCGCCTCCTCCACGTTTCCAGTTTTGATAGCCTCCAGAAGTGGTGCCATGTATTCGCGCAATGGAAGCATGTCCATGGTAGCTATGTACAGCAGCAGATGGAAATCACTGATGGCAGTCAGGAATTCGTCGGGATTGAACTGGGATAGATATTGCGAGAGTGCATTAAAGTCCTGGATGTGACCATCGACGAGACGGTTTTCCACTGGGAATAGCTGCTTAGAATCATCTGGGTTGAAGGAGTAGATCGGTGACAGAGGAGTCGAAGCCGGTACATCCAGAAGAAGATATTCAACTGGAAGTGGACGCGCCAGCCTTGACACTTCATTTCCGTATGTGTCTTTCTCCTACAAAATAACAAAAAGAAAAGATTGAATTTTTTTAAAAATTATATAAATATTACAAAACCTATATTATTTTGTAGATTGTTTTAAAATCAAATTAACTGAATTAATAACTACACTAAAAAAACTTCATATTAATAAACATGTATTACACAATCAAACAACTACTATTCGAAACAGCGTACGTTCGTATGAACGTGCGTACGTTCGTGCAAACAAAGAGACACGCGTGTATCTAATAGTAACCTTGCTACAACGCGTACGTTTCAATCAGAATACAATGAAACCTCATTAATTCAGAGTTGATGTAGGTAATCCGTATTAAGAGATTATCCTGATTATGGAAGCAAACGCAATGTGTTACATACACTCGGAGTGAATAGTATTTTACATTCAAGCGCAAAATCAATACTCACGAAAGCCCATTTTTTGTAACTTACAGTATTCTAAAAAAGATCTATTCGACAAATAAATTAAATTCAAGAATACTGCGCGTCTTCTCTGAATGTCACGGTTACGTTTTTGGGGACTGCTCGAAGGTCTCTGAATTTACAATTGTACTTTAATTCTCATCTGAGAGCGATAACCTTGTCAGCACACAAAGATTCATCGTTATATCGAAGACTTTGGATTGCGATTCGTAAAGAAATTTCTTCAGCAAATTTTATTGAAATAGTGATCAATAAATGCTTGAATTTATGACAACATTTAAATTGGAGAAAGTACAAGAGATATTTGTAAGAACGATTTTGAAATGTTATAAAGCAACTAAAAGAAATTTTAATCACAAGATTTTGCAGAGATTTTTTTTTTGTAATTGTGATGTTTTATATATATGTTTGTAAATATATATTCAAAGAACTTGTGAGAAAGAATTCATTGGGAATGGAATATAATACGGAATGTTTGTTACACCCCTTTAGTGTATAGGACGCAAACAATAGATATCGTAATGAGGTCAAGTAATTCTGTCTGTCAATTGTAGTTCCAAACCGCACTTCCTGCTACCAGCATTAATATCTACTAAGCTGCTATACAATAGTCATTAGCTTAATAAATGAAGAATTGAAACATTATACTTGTTGATCTAAGAGGTTTCGCACTACGCGAATTGCTTTCAAGATTTGTACGCACATTTATGCGTTATTTCCTAAGTAAATTGTATTTACAACACGAATGACCATATAACAGATGTACTTGCTGATCTAAATGTTACTTGAAACAATATTAAAAGAGGAGAATAATTCCCAAACAAGTAGTTTAATTGATACTTAAAAATGCTAAATAACGCAGCTTTAAGGAAATATGTAATAATTGTATAAAATAAATAAGATTTTCTTAAAGTTATCTAGAGTAATAATCATATAATATATACTGAAAGGGCACTTGTTGATCTAAAGGACAATGGATGTGATATTAACAAAAAAAAAATTGATAATTAGGTCAAGTGCGTGGCCTTCGTGTCAAGTGCAGGGATCTTTCAGGAAATTTTGCGAGGAAAATTGAAAAACGACAATGAAAATTGAAAAGCTTCTGCGCTGATCGAATCGCGTGACCCGGTAAAGCAAACATGCACGCATCCAGCGTACACCGGGATCTGGGTCACACGGCCCCAGACCCTGTTGCTTCAGAAGATTCCTTGTTGCCGGCGGCGGCGAAGCTCGTCCGTGTTCCGGTTTATTGATTGCCGTTTCGAAATTCCCGCTCTTCGTTTTGCGGGCGGACGCGGCTCGCGGAATCGCGCCTCCTCTCTGACGGCCAAGGTCGCGGCACACTCTCCCATACATACATACACATACAAACAGAGAGCTCTCCTCGCGAATGGCGTTTAGTCCAGTCGTCAACATGATGTGGCACATCGTGTAGCGGCCACCCGTATTTTTTTAAGTTTTTTACCGACAAGCACCGACAAAAAAAAAATAATTCTAAAAATCCACCCCCGCCCAAAAGAATAACGCACACATACAAAAAAAAAACAGAAAAATTTTGCACGAAAATAGTATTCCGAGAGATCCGCCACCCCCCGACGACCGAGTGGAGGAGACGCGTGTACGGTATTACAAATAAATAAACATAAAGGAAACACCACACCATCAGCAACAACAAATAGTAAAAACAAACAACAACAAATAATATAACAATGTCAGGATAGACTAGGATTTGTTTACAACACAATTCAAATTCGCTCTACAATTATTTTTAAATTAAAGAAAAATAATAATACAGAAAACACGCACACTTAATTACTTGATAAAGGACCGTTCAGAAGTACAAAGCATGAATACCGTAGAAAAGTTATAAATCGCGTTCGAAAGTTATAAACTTAGCGTATATAAACAAATATAAATCGACGATCCGCGATTTAACGAAACGTATAGTTTTATATTAAACTAAATAAGTTGACAAATAGGAGAGACGACCAAATCGAAAACTTCTCGGATTTACTAAAAAAAAAGGCTGTGTTACAACATCAACAAGAACAACAGAAAAACCGATAATCTCATAAAGAATACGGTAAGAACTTTATTTTTTTCTCTTCGCTGTTGCATCATCACTAATCAAATCATTGATAGAGCATTCATTACACCTATGTTCATGCCTTCATTGCTAACAATCACTGGTATATTTCTGGATCGGACGGTTAATGTAAACAATAATGTTTCGACCCGTCATACCTATCCAGCATTAATTGCTAACTATTATCATCTCTAGTATTTCTGGTTCAATCGCAAAAAAAAATAAGAAAAACATAAACATTAATTGTAATGTTTGGATAGTGTAGAGACGTCAGCGTGAGAGAGAGGCCGCAATGACCTCAATACATAAGGTCCATAATCGTGCCTCTGAGCAGTCCAGAAATTAGTCGGAGCACACGCAAACATTACATAAAAATCGTAAATTTCGCCGAGTCCAGTCGATGCATGCTCATCAAACTGGATGCGATAGATAAATAAACAAGAGAATTCTCCAAAGGGACGCATTTCCTTTGAAAGGTCATCGCACGCGTATGCAAATCAATACTCTGTTCATAATTTAGAATCAATTTCAATCCACCAAAAATAAAGCTGCGTTGGCCAGAATGCGGAAACGCGTTGATAAGAGATAAAATAGGATTGTGTGAAGAGCACTATGTACCGATAACCATTACGCTCGCCCATATTAATTACCATTATTACTTTTGATGAAAATATCAATAAAAACAGCGCCGTTGATCGATCTTTGTTTGTTTTCTATATCGGCGCGAATTTGTTTTGCAGGGGTCGGGATGGAGTCGGGCGGTGCGGAGATCGAGGAGCTCATGTTGTGCGGATACTGCAAGTTGCGGTACAACGACAACGATCAGAGTCCGAAGATGTTGTCCTGCAAACATTACTTTTGCCTGCAGTGCATGAGGACTTGGCTGAATAAGGGCCAGGAACTGTTGTGCGTTCACTGCTGGAAGCGCACAGATTTAGGAGAGAAGGGTCCGGAGTCGTTGCCCACCTACACTCCGGTCCTCTGCCTTGCCAAGAACTTCTCGGAGATGAGGCTTAAGCTGGAGAAGCCTCCGGCACCAATCGCTTGCGGAAGTAAACTTATTTCGGAAAACTGTCACACCCACGCGATGCCTCTTGCGCTGTGGTGTCAAACGTGCGGCATCCCGGTGTGTCGGGCCTGCGCCGCCACCTCCGATCATACCAGTCACCAGGTCAAATCGCAGAACGAAACCAAGGATCAGTTGGTGAACGATCTGCATACCGAGTTGCAGTCGATGAATAAGATGCTGAACGAGATTTCGCGATTGGCGATGCAGCAGCGTGAGTTCTTGGTGAAGATCTTGGAAGCTTGCGTCACGTTAAAGACTCACGTTGAGGCAGATCTGACTAACCATTCCGCCCATTTGGAAGTTAACGAAATTAGAGAGTTACTTGCTAAGATCCGCATGAATGTAGGCATGGTGGATAATCTGGCTGACGTTCAGGGCTTGTACTCCAGTTTGAACGTTGAGAAGCAACGTATGCAGATGCGTTACCAGGATATGTTCCACCAGTGCCAGCTGGACGACCTCATCCGCAACTCTCCGGTGCTCTTCGACTTCCAACTCCTGAAGCAAGCTTTGGCCAGCATACAAAACGGGGATATACCCTATTCGGGTAATTCCAGGATGGCTACTAACCAGCAGAACCCGATTCTCTTCCTGGCCAACTACTGCATGTCACAGCTGTACTCTCGTCACGTCATCACTAAGCAGATCAACGGTAATATCGATTACCTGCATTCTATCCAACCGACACAAAACTACCTCCCAGTCGTACCTGCGAAGTACGAACCGATCATCATGCACTCGCCTCAATTGTCCAGAAACCCGATCACCGCCTGTCCTCTCTATTACTTCAACATCGAAGTGAATGGAGCACCCGCCGGAAGAGTGATCATCGAGGTCCGCTCCGACGTTGCACCGAAGATGTCCAAGAACTTCGGACTCTTAGCTACAGGAGAATCCGGTATCGGCTACAAGGGCTGCAACATCTTCCAGTGTTGGGAAGGCGAGAGCGTCATCACCGGCGACTACGAGCTAAACAACGGCCGCGGCGGCCGTTCCATCTTCGAGGAGTCCTTCTTCCTTCCGGACGATACCAAACTCCTAGCAGTCAGAGGCACCGTCGGAATGCGTCGTACCCAGAAGAGGCACGACAACCTAGGCATGGTAGGTTCCCAGTTTCGCATAATCCTACAGGAGATGCGCGGCTTCACCGGCATCTTCGGCCACGTTATTGAGGGCCTCGAGCTGATCGAGAAACTCAGCACGTACGGCGACACGAACGGAAAGCCCACCAAAACAATCCTCATAGCCAAATGCGGCAAACTTTAAAAAGGGGGCAATCGATGCCAACGCACGGCCAGTATAACACGAATTAGTTTCTAACGCATATTTAAAGAAACCCAAATATTTTTTTAATCGATCAACAAACAAAACGAGAGCGCGCGTTCAGTTCTCGAAACTTATCCGAAACGAATTTTTAAAAAATATTTGGCATCGACGCGTATTTATTCATAATCTTAATGGTAATAATAATAATCGTGTAATAAATGTTGTAAATATTAAGAGAAAAAAATGAAGCAAATCGCTTGAATGAATCGTATTTAAATGTTGATTAAGTGTTAAGCTTCGGCCAGAAAGTAATACCTTCTCAAAAATCAGTATTCGAAATCGGTTTGAACAAAAAAAAATATATATAAATACAATAAATAAAGGAAACGCTTGTGAAATACAAATAATTTCAATATTTGAAAATTTATCAAGCAAACATATATTTTCTTATTCTGTGTACAATTCTTCGCGGTGTCTAAAATATGAAGATTCTATTAAGATATATATATATATATTCTTGACTACGAATTAAATCTCGATTAGTTTCCAAACGCTCTGCTATGCATTGTTGCGTTTACGGAAAGAAACAATACAATAAACACTTCGTAGTGAAATGGATGTATTTTTAAACAAGATTCTTTGGGACCTCACATTTCAACAATTAGTCACACGCGATGTGTGTGCGCGATTCAATTTGATATATATACAAATATTTAATATATAGATTTATTGACAGTATATAAAAACATGATATATATTTTTTATTACATATATTTTTGTATCGTCGTTATTACTTAGTATTTAGTCGGAAACACGTTTTTTCATTGCAATCAGTTTCGATTTAAACAATAATATTAATAATCTCGGTGAAACTTAATTACGAATCGGCCTATGATTTACTTTCGAACTGACGCTAATATCGCACCAAAACGGGGTAAAATAAAGAAATCGAATTATGTTTTCTTAGATAATAAGAATGGCATTGTTTCATGCGTTTCGTGCGTGAAAAACAAAATGTTTTAATAACTTTCTAAATGTTAGCGGAAAAATGTTTTAAACTCGTTCCTCTTTTTTCAACAAATAAAAAAAAAGCATACTTTTCAAAAGTTATAACAACGATACCCGAACTTTCATATTCGGCAGAAACTAATAAACACGATCGTCGCATATAAACTTTTTTTTCCCCAAGGACGCGCGATTGTTCAGATTCACTTCCCGTAAACATGAAGATTTTTATTCTAAATAAATCTAACCATATCACGAGGGATCGCTTTGTTATAACGCTAAATATTTCTGGTCAAACGCTACGAGTTGACTATCAAGTTACTATTTTATAATAAAATAATATTAATTGAAGAAGAAAAAACAAAACACAACAGAAAAAAATATATAATGAAAAATGTACCTGTTTAATTGTATCAATGTTTGTATACCTCTTTGTAAATGTGAATTAAAAATGAAATAAAACGAAAAACGTATATAGAAATTAAAAAAAAATTATATAAATGAAAGAAATCTATTTTCGTGTAATTACGAGACTTTCTAGTGTTGTAAAAGAAATTAGGACGCTTTATAATGTTAATAAACGACGGAATTAAAAAATGTATCTATTTATTTTTAACCCTATCACAATTGAAAATTTAAACTAAAAAATGTTAAAATTTAAGCAACGAAAATTTGCGGAATAACGTAATTTCTTAAGAATACTTGAATACTTCACTTAATCCCAGAAATTAAATGCACCTATTTAATGACGGTAATCCAGTTCAAGGCAAAAGTTGCGGTTGCGCGTAAACTTTGATGCATTTATTGTACAGCCGAAATAAAAAAAAATGTAATGGTTGCATTGTTCTCAAACATTTTCTTTCATATTGAACATATTTACAGCGTTTTCTTACATAAAGTCTTATCGCTTCTTAGTAATATGAAACAAAGCTCATTACGTAAGTACTTGATTCAATTTAAAATCTATCAATAGTTAATTGTGATATCTTGGTGCAATTTGTAAGAATACGAATTTGTTCGTTTTAATTGAATAAGTTTTTTTTTTGCTAATTTGTAATAGTCAGGATTCAGTTCAGAAATATACCATTATGTATATAGGTAAGTACATAATTAAGCTAATTGCGTCTTTTGAAAAAATTGTAAACATTATAGAAATGCGAGTAAGAAATACAAAATAAATTGACTCACTTTGTAGTAGACATCGGGCACGTATTGTTTATCTGATGATTCTCGGATGTATCCTAATTCCGGAGCATCTTTCGTGGGCACGAAGCAGTTATCCCTGACCAGAGCCATGCACTGATTGGAGACCTGGTATCCTTCCATGTGCACCTGATTGGTCTTATCGCCTGAAAAAACAGCATTCTTGAAAAACCTGTTCAGAATTTTGCTATTGCATCAGACATTACCTGTAACGCATACAGTGACAAATTTCGATCCAAAGTGGCCATTGGACGAGTGCTTGCAAGGGTTGGGATACATGTTCTGGTAGTAAGCAGCCATGTAGCATTCTTGGGCGGATAGGAAATAGGTGTCAATGTGGCGGGTGTGTTTAACAGTGCCTTTCTGCACGTCTTCAGCTATCAAATCTGTAAATATCCATCCGACCATCTTCAATCCGAGTGCCTCGGCCAGAAGCTGTACTAGTTCTGCCTTGTCATCCGGCAATAATTGTACTGAATCGCGTGTGCTTTCTTGAGGTGGCTCATAAATTGCAGCCACTGTCGTCCTGATACCTAAAACAAACATAATTTATTAATAAACTAACAATTACATTTGAAATAATTTGATTACTATTAAAGAAACTAAAATTGATAAAATTAAATTTGTAAAATATGGTTTCTTACCTAAAGGCACATCAGTATGCATTTCGTATTTTCCAAATAAAAAGCCGATCCTTTGATGACCGGTGGAACGCCAGTAATTCAAGAATCTCTCCACCAACTTCGTGTTTTCAAATTGAACGTTGTCCACATGTCTGTAGACTTGTCTATTTAGTGTCACAGCATTAGGCTGACACTTGGAGCAGATGCCCTTCGGCCACGGCGGATGATCCTTGCATCCGCTGCGGATGCGACAGGTCAGATCCTCCAGAGCCAGGAACTTCCCTCTGTCCACCCCCGAAGTCATTTTGCGCAAGTAAGAGTGGAAGGATAAATGATTAATTTTCTGCTCACGCAGATACGCCTCATCGTACGGCTCCAGAGCCGAACAATGGAAGCATCTAGAATTACTATTGTGCCTGCACCTAAAACCCACAAGAAAAAAACAACAATCAACAAATATAATATAAAACATTAATTGTGATTACTTACAATTTATCATCCTTTTTCCTAAATATCTTTCCATCTACTTTTAACAACTGAACGTCAACATCGTCCTCTTTAACAGCCACTTTGTTCAAACTAACAGAATTGATTTTACCTCGACTGGCCATACCACTTCCAGAAGCGATCACCTCAGGTTCCCCAGCGTTCGAGACATTCTACAAAACGAAAAGTTCAGTTTTTAATATAATAAAGCAATTGAAGAATGAACTTCTTACATTATTCGATGTGGATGGTTCTGCAAATATAGTTGTCCCATCTAGCGATGACAAATAGATCATATCACCATGCTGAAGACCGCTCGACATGAGCGTCCGAGATTTGCTGCTTATAATCTCCCTTTTTTGATTCTTCTCCTTGTGCAGTGCGAAGGCAAAGCTGCTGAGATCGAAGGCATTGTGGACCTTCTCGAATAATTGACATGTTGCTGCAGAGGCTGGGATCTCTATTCTCTTTGTGCCTTCAGATGATTGCACCCGAATAATCTGAAACATGACAATTGTTAATTTAAACAACAATAACAATCAGTGACACCTATTGTTCAGCAAGTGAACATCGGTCAGATGTCAAAACAATTTTCAAAACTTGCACTCTGTCATGCTCCTAAATTTTTTCCTCCTCTCTATTAAAAATCAACTCAACATTAGCATATGTGCTGAGAGTCACTTAAAAATAATGATTATTTATAACTATGATATCATAACCTAGAAAGCTTTAGAACGAACAGCCTGTAGAGGCCCAAACTGCTTAGGCCAATGTTATGCAATTGCACAGGTCAATTGTTTGTTTACAAAATTAAAGAAGTTGCAATTGATGGTCAATCAGAGATCAATGGTATTGCTTGATCAAGGTTGATTCTTACATAGATTCCCTTAAAACTTATTATCATTATTTTACTTACAATTAACTTGTCCTTCGACATGACTCCCAGCGTCCACCGTTTCTTCCTTCTTTCTTTAATTTTTAATTATTATCTTCCTTGTTCCTTGCCGATTTGTTGAGTAATTGTCAACACCAACACTGAAATGTCAAATTTTTTCAACTCCTTTCTCCTTATGTGTCATCCACCATACCGAAGTTGGCTACGAAAAGAAATTTCAAATTTTCAAATTTCATGCGTCCAACAATTAATAAAAAACATAACTACAATCAATAAACTTTTAATTACTTACAATAAACCAAAACCAAAGAAACAACTAATTTCAACTAATTAATTATAATAAATTCTTGTTAACAACAGTTACACAAAAAGAAGAATAAGCGAATTTTCATATGTTTTATTTTCATTTTTGGGAACGTGCGGTTATCCAAAATTATACATGTGTAATTGCGTTTTGGATAGAAAATTGCAGGTGCGTTTGCGATGCTAGTGCTGCCTGAAACGAAAATAGCTGAGGTGGGAACGCTCGGAATGCGAAATGCGATTTTAAATTTAGTCTCTGCATTTCCTACGAATCAACACAAAATTTTGGTCATTGTTGTTGCGACCGTTCAACTAAAAAAAGCATTCAGTTAGAGGTTGAGATCATGGCTCTGTAATTAACTCAGGTGCGAAACGTTTCCGGTAAGTTCATTATATAATACAAAAAAAGTTGAAACCATTGAAAATTTTTACAATTTGAACATTTTAGCTGCTTGTTAAATTTCCACAGTTATTTTAACGCTTATTAACATCTATTTTTGTAGTCTACACGTGTACTGACATTGATTTTTTTTAAATTTAAATTTTAAAAGATGAGATTATTTTACAAAAGAAAATTCCCTATAATTATTTTAACAATTAGTTTAATAATAAACTATAATTGATTTATTGATTTTCTTTTATTTAATGAAAAGAATGAAAATTTGTTTTAATTGATAATTTTCTAAAGTTGTAATAAATTATTATTATTTTTATAAAATTATCAACTTTAATCAGTTTAATTATGTCCACTTTTTTGTAGAAATACATGTTTTGTCTTAAGTTGTGTTATTAATGTATAAAATAATTGATTTATATATTTAGATTTTCTTACTAAAAATTATTTATTATATTTTGTTTGGTAAAATATTTCACTTCAGTTTTTTTTAGATTTATACAACTGAGAAAAGTTTAAATTACAAGAAAATTAACTTAAGTTTACATAAGAAATAAATAGTTTTAATTTGTTGCTATGAGTACTTATTTGATTTTACTAAAATACATTACTTCTTCAAATTCTCCAAAATTAGACAATGGTAGAAATACATTTTGAATGAAATTTACAATAAAAGGAGTAAAAAATCTAAGGGAAGTTTTAATTAAAAGATAAATTGCATCTAAATCTTAAATATAAGAACAAAATCGTTATTTTCTGTATAATATTACGCAAGTTGTAGAATTCTCAAGAGACGAATGAAATATTTGGATAAGGGCAATCAATAAATGATTATTTATTCCCAAAGAAAATTTATTAATGAATTATATGTAATTTGATGTATCAAATTAATTAAATCTTGGCTATTGTAGCGTAATTTTAAGTTAATTAATTTAAAAAGACAGAAATTAATAAATTTAAATTTTCTCTGCAAGCTGAATATAGCCACGATATGTTCCTTTATAACTAAGAATTATTTGGATAATACGTAATTAAATCTTCAAATTATCGAATTTTCTCTATAATAATTACATAATGTATTGTATAAGATGTGAATTTATATATAAAATTGCCTTTTCGTCGATGTTGTGACAAATGTGCTTTAAATGTGTGACAGGTGTGCGTGAATGATTGCCTCCAAACAAGGAATACACTGTCAAAATCAAGGATTCAGCAAAGTGGTGGCCGCTGGACGAGATCTGGACCAGGACATCTCTCGCTTATCATTTAGCAGTAGTTTAAAGAGTGCAAAATGACATCATCAAGGGTGGACCTGTACATCTATGACCTTTCGAAAGGGATGGCTGCAATCATGTCACCAATCATCATAGGTGAGAGGATCTCATTTATTATATGCATATCATCAATGATAATTATCTTTGCTAATCAATTGTTCTATTCCAGGCAAGAAAATTGATGGGGTCTGGCATACTGCTATCACTGTCTATGAGAGGGAATACTTCTTCACAGCTTCTGGTGTTGAAAACTGTATCCCCGTAAGTATTTCATTCCCACATGTTATTGCATAAGTTTTAATGTCTTCAATTCATACATATTTCAATGTTTAGAGTTAGTAAATCCTGATTTAAATAATTATTATTAAAGAAAGCAATAATCTAAAGAATTCAAGCTTTGCTTTTAACCTAATGCAAATTCTACTTCTCATTTATATTAAATGGAAGTAGAATGATTCATATATGGAATATCATATACATTATGGATAAAGTTATGAAAATGAGGCAATTATACTTTTATTTTCTTTAATTGAAGTAAAATCATTCTTATAAGAAAATATGAAATGACTTAGCTGAATTTATTACTGAAAAATGAACTTTTTTGTTATTATCATTGATATTTTGGATAAAGTGATGATTATACATTTGATAATAATTACATGTAGGAGAATGTAATTTGTTGACTCATTGCACATTACAAAACGTTCATTAATTTTATAAAGTACCTGGGATTGTATTTATTTGAAGGTCATTGCGAAATTGAGCAATTTGGTTAATTATTGTTTTGATGTTTCAAGAAAAAAATATGTACAAGTGCTAATGAATTGAATTTCTTAAAATAAAATATTTTGAAAACATATAAACAATTAGTTATATGTTAAAACGATTTATTTTACTAATGCCACTAAATTGTATATGATTGAACAATTCATTGAAAATTACACTTTTTTTTTGTAAATATTATAAATTTTTAATTCTTTAAAAATTGTTATATTTTCATTGTGATACGTCAAGGACGTTGTGACAAAGTTGGTCAAGACTTGCGTGTTTCCAAAAAATTAGAACCTAGTTTTAGCTGTATCGATTTTGATGAAAAATTATATCTGTGAACTTTCTGGAACTAATTTCCTCGAATTGCAGCAATACAAATGTACAATTTCCTGAAATTTATTTAATTTTTTATGATACGTACATACTTTTTAGTTATCAATATTTCATAAATTGATTACGTAATATACATAAAATTTTAAATTGTAATCCTGAATTTCCAAATGAAATTGGAATTGATTTTCTGATATTGCTGAGCTAAAATGAAATAATGGAATATAAATATAGTGCAGAGAATAAGCGTGTATCGTGCAACCAAACTATGTTGTTTGAAAACTCGGTTTTAGGTGCTCAAATATTGATGTCACACGCTCGGCCGTTCTCATTAAAGTGCATTTCGCAAACAATCAATAAACTCTCTTTCAACTTTAGAACAATTTCTCTCCTGGCTTCATCCATTATTGTATTCACACAATAGTTCTATTTCAATACCAAACGTATTCCTAGGATTCCAATACTTTGATTTTGGAATAAAATATAAAAAAAAAAACGAAACAATCTCGACAATTTTTGTTATTATAATGATGAAGTTTTAATGCACTAAAATTTAAATACTTTTAGATTCAATTTTCATGAAATTTCAATGAACTAGTTATTTTTTCATAATAATTCAAATTGAAATATTTAATCTATTATAAATCAAGATTTTTTTATGTTATTAACTAAGTAACATCTACTTCTTTTATTCAATACAGATTCTGTGATGTATTATAGTTTAGATATATGGGAATGTAAGTAAATTGGAAGAATTTGTATCAATTGAATTATAAATTTAGATTTCGGAATTTCTCTAATTAATCAGTATTAAGTGGAGTTCCTTTTCCTCTCTTTGCGAACGACAGCGGTCGTTGCGTAATCGGGAAATGCATGTATAAATAAGTCGGTCTAAATATATCTCGGTGATTGGGGTTGGTGTGTCCAGATGGCGGCACGGCGTATCCAATTCTGGATGCTGCAGAGAACACTAAATTTGGATGTTTGCTATAAATAAAGGGTGTGTAGTAACAAACCAGTCGAAGAAGCGTTCCACCGGTCGAAACGCGTCTCGCAAAAATCCGGAGAAAGTGAGTTACTTCATGATCCCTTCTTTTTGTTTTCTTCCTTTAGGATCCGCCAAAAAGAAAAACGCGTGATGCAAATGCGACGCGTGGGTGTTTTAAAAGCGTATAAACACAATAATAAAATGATCCAAGCCAAATATTTTTAGAAGGAATTGTGTATATTTAGTCGCGAATGCAGAGAAAGTTTTGCGCTTTTAATTTGGTTGTGTGTGTGTGTTTATGATATAGTTCTTGTGTTTGTAGGGCACTACCGCATTGGGTCCACCTCTGAAGCAGATCAAGTTGGGTGAAACCCAGGTACCTTATCCCGTCTTCATCGAGTATCTGAACGGGCTTAGTCAGTCTTCCTACGGGTGAGTTCACGGCCCACCTACTGCTGCTGCTCCGATCCTCTAGCAAAGATCGTGTATTTTTAGCGCGAACACTTACCAATTGTTGAGTCACAACTGTAATAACTTTTCGGACGAGTTGGCCCAGTTCTTGTGCGGCACCGGCATACCCAAGTACATCCTAGACCTGCCGAACGAGGTGCTCCAGACAAACTTGGGCAGTACCTTGGTACCTTTGATCAGCCAGTGGGAGCAGAGCGCACGACCCACCGTCCAGACCCAGAGCGAGGCGACCACCCGCGAGAAGAGTCCAGATCTCGACCAGCAAATCGAAGAGGCCAGGTCAGAAAAACAAACGCTAAATCGGAAGTGATGATGACGATGATCATTACGCCGAAGATCACGTTTCTAAGTGTTTATAAAGAGAGATAAAGATAATAATTCATAAGCTAACTCAAAATGTAACACCGCAAAAGAAGTGTTGCCACATTAGTATTTTTTCAAATGAAGCAGCATCATTTTTTTTTGTTGTTGCATCTGAATGCTGGACGATTCATTTACTTTTCAGGGATTATGTGGATTAGGTTTAATTTGCTATTTACCGCGGACATTTCTAACGCCACCCGCCATCTTGATGACCGTGACACTTTTATTTCTCGAATAAAACTTGAAACTTAATCCGCATGCATGTTAATTATATTTAATGTTATTAGTACAATTTAATATTATTATTTTAGCACTTTTTTTTCTAACTTTATTATTCTTCTCTCAAACGAACAGTTGCCTGTTTTTTTTTTTACTATTGAAGTACCAACTTTGGTTTCTTTATTTTAAAAAACAATACTCACTTTACTTAGTTCAATTTTTTCTTTCATCACGGTTAGAATGTGGTTTCCGAATGCAAAATTAGAGTAGAAAACAAAACAATAAATAATATAACCAGAGTCCTGTTTCTGCAATGGACTTAGTTGAACAAAATTTTCTCTTTGTAGCTCAAAATTCTTTTAGCGTTGTAAACAAAATTGATTTATAGATTGGAACAAATAAATCTGAAAGCAAAACGAATCTGTGTCCATTTATTCCATATATATATATATATTTTTTATCTATTTTGTGTGTTTGCGTGGATTAGATGTATTTAGCTTACTAACAAAATTGTGAAAATGCGTGTAGATTTCGAAGGATATTGCCGTGCACAAGCCTCATGTTTGTAGCTTTGTGTGTGTGTTTTTTTATTTGATGGTATCCTCTTTTTTGCATAGAGTATTCGTTTTAGATACAAGTCCTTCGTGCTCGAACAGAGGCGCAAGAAGTTGAAGGAAAAGTTGGCCAAGAGGGAGCGCAAGAAGGAGAAGAGGCGAAAAAAGTTGATCAAGGAAGGTCACAGCGAAGTGCTTGAATTAGAAGTAAGAATTAATTTATTTCTACTCCAGTTTATACATTGCACTTGTTATAACAACATACAAGTGCCAATTGCACTTTATTTTGGCACAACGTCTAATACATGCATCTTTCCTTTGTTATGCAAACCGCTTAGTTTTCATTAATCTTTTTGAAATTGTCATTCTGACAGATTTTTTAATTATTGTAAATTGGCGACCAACGTGGGGAGATTTACTAAAATAATTAATATTATTATCCAAAATCTCACTCAAGTGATTGTATTAAGAAGAAAAGCAACGTCAAACAATATATGAAATATACTTCGCCCACCTCCTTTTCTGGAGCCAAAAGTATTATTGACAAATAAACGTATTTCTTTATTATTTTCACGTTTTCGACTTATTTTCATCCATTTGCTAATATCTTATATTTAGAGCTTACGTCTTTTTATGAAAACATATTTATTCCAGAAGCACACATATTTGTTTACTATTTTATAGATTTATATTAGTATATATTTATATGATCATTTTATAATATAAATTTAATATATCAATTATTTTGATATATAGGAAACGGAAATGGCTGATACTGAAGCAGCATTGAATCCCTCCGAATCGTCTCTGCCGTCTGAGCAGGCGATGCAGTTGGAGGAGGAAGAGAGGAGACAGGAGGAGGAGAGGAAAAGGCTAAGAGATCCTCCGGTGATCTACAAAACTCTGCACGACGTAAATACGCCAATGAAATTAATTAATTTCTTTTACAATAATTAATTTATATCCAATTAGATTAACGTTGAGTTCGACGCTTTGGTCGGATTGATAGATGGGAAGTTGAGCCAGGAGGAGCAAACTTCCTTGGAAGAATTGCACAAGTTTATGTTGGAGGATGAAGGCAGCTGGGTTCTTGGAGAAACCTTCCTCGTGTTTATTGGTAAAGAGCGCAGCAATTGATTTTTATGAATGCGCGGGTTAATTAAATTATTAAACTGCAGGAAGACTTCTAAACGACAAAACTCTTCCGGTGGAAGTCAGGGTGAAGACCTTGAACGTTCTCGCGCTCGCCGCTCTTAAAGACGATGTTATCCTTTTGCTGCATCAGGATAGGAGGGAGCACATCCTTATGAACTACGCCTTCGACATCGATAGGCACAGCTTGGAGGAGCAGGAAGGTGTCGCTTTATTCGTAAGATATCTTCGTTTTGGATTTTAGATTAGCGCTAATTCGGGTCTTTTAGATGTGCAATATGTTTGAGAACTTGAGTTCATCCGAATGGATGCTTTACATTTCCGAATGGGCATACAACAATCAGCAGACCAGTAACATCCGAGTTACCACCAAAGTTGCTGTGCATTCTCTCCTTTCCGACTCATCCGTTCTTCAAGAGCGTGGTTCGGCCATCATCCATAACCTTGCCTGCAAGGAGGTAAAAACAGTGGTCTGTATCAGAAATTCTCTTAACATAGTTCGTAAACTTAATCTAACAAGTTACACATCCAACCATTGGTTTACTATCAATGATCTTTCTTTATTTTGTGTTGATTTATTGTTTTGGACGGATGCTCTGTAGAATTTTGTTTGCAGAAAATGTTCAAAAATTTCAAGATTCGACAAAGATTACCCAAAGGCAGTCTGTCCAAGGTAGTGAAAATTGAAAATTGTGACGAAACGAAAGCACTTAACAACATCATGAAACTCTGCTCATCATTAATACCAATTTTGTTTTTTTATATATCATCATCTAGCATTTTCCTTCCACGTTCATCATCAGCAGCACAAAATTACCTAGTTATTATTATTTTTTGTTTTTTTTTTTTCTTTAATTATCAAATTAAATAAATGGATTTGTAACTCTGTTTGAAATACTCCGAGATTGGAAATGTTTCGTGTGAATTTGACTGGTCCGATTTGCGTTGTAGGTGTTCGATGATGTCGCCGTCGAGTTGACGATGGCTCTGCTGCAGTTCTTCAACGGTAAACCGAGCGAAGAGAACCTGTTCAGATGCATGAAAGCTTTGGCCAAGTTCGTGGAGATTTCGAGGCAGGAGGTGCCGCAGCTAATCCAGATGATCGGGCCCGATCCGAAGACCTTCAAAGGCACAAGTCCGAGGATCGATGAGCTCATCGAGAAGATCAGTTCGAAATGCCGTTAAATTACTTATCTATATTATTCAAATGCGTTTCCAAAGAGAGAAAATGTTGAATTTTTAATAAATAGAAAGATAACGTTTCCAATATGTTATCGGTGTCAGTAATGTCATTTTTTTTTTGGTAGAATTTTAACTTGTAAGGTCGTTCTTTTTTTTTAAATTAATGTGAAACTTTTTTTTTGTAATTCTTACAATTTTGTTATTACGTTGTATGTGGATTGATGATTTTATATGATTATGTAATTTGTGTAATCGAATAAAAACTATTTATTTCGCATTTAGTATCTTTACTTTCAAGAAAACAGTAATTAAATCCTTTATTAAGCTGTAATTAATACGACATACTTATTATTAGAATCTGGTAAATTTCTAAATTTTAGAATATACAATTAAATAATCGTCATTGATTTATTGTTTCATTCTGTAATATGTTTATGTAGTAGATTTATTGAGTTTTTTTTTAATGATAAATGAGAAATGTTTGATTAACTTGTTTTGCAGTAAATATTTAATGAATTCTATAGAAAAGTTATACCTAAATAGAATGGATTTTGGTCACCCAAAGTACTGCACGTTGCTTAACTTTATGCAACAGGCGGATGACAAATTTATATTACTGCAATAAAGAAATAATTACTATTTGTTTATATTCCAATTTCACATAATCATTAGACAATTGAAAAAAATCTAAATACTTTTTTTCTTTGATAGCTTCAACATTCGAAACGATTTGATATTTAATATTTTTTTATAAACTTGGAATGATAATTAGATGATAGGTATAAAGCAATTGCGATAAAGATTATTAAGTTTAGGTAAGGTAAGCTATTATTCTGGGTATTAGTATAATAAAAAAAAAAGGAGTGAGTCTGAGGGTAATCGAGGGGAGTGTTTCCGGCATGGCATTACAATATAACTGATAAAAATGAATTTATATCGCAATAAAATTGTATGTTATCGAAGAACGGCTTCGGAGCAACAATAAAAAAAAAACCGTATACGTAAGGGTAAAAAGCAGTATAAAGGGAGAAAGGAGAACCGCGAAGGGGGTAATTGGGTTGCGTATGTGAGGCTGCTAGGTGGATGTTTGAGTAAAGCATTTTCATAATGTTGCAAATAGCCGGGGGCGGCTGATTCGAAGTACCTCGCGCAATATTACCCATATACTCGCGGCGGCTGAGTGTTGTAATAAGCCGCCCCCCGGGGGGACATTTCGCCGCCTCCGCAGCAGCAAACCGCGTACACTTCCCTCACATCAAATACAAGCAGCGAAGGAGAAAGAGAGCGGCGGGAGAAAAACAGGAGGCGGTGAAACTTGCAGCGAGATTCTAATCGCTTAGCGATACATCAAATTACAATAACCGACTCGGATGATGATGTTAATTATCGGATTGTAAATATATAAATAATACAAGAATTTCTAAATATATCGGATTGTCCGGAAAGTTCGTGCTAATTTCCAATGCCTAAATATTTCAGAATTGTGAAAAACAATGAACTTGTGTATATTTAAAAAAAAGAAATTTCAAACTGCTCTAAAGTATCAAAGACTTTAGACTATGATAGTTTACAGATGATGATTTCAGCCATAATGTTCCGCTATTAATTAAATAAACGTTTTTGAATTATTTTAGTTATAAGTTTGACATAAATAAATTGTACAAATCATAATAAACTATCACAGTTGAACATTCTTATACTTTCTGAAATTACAAGCAACGTGAAGTAAATTCCTTCTTCATCTTGTCCCAGTTCTCTCTGCCCATCTCCTCTTGTTTCATTTGATAAATATGTTGTAACTTTTTGGAAGGAATTCAATCGTATGGTCATCCACATCAACCTATAAATAGAACATTTCAGAGAATAGTTGAACAAAAATAATAAATAATTTTGCACATATTTGTAGAATCCAATGAATTGAATTTAAATATTCTATCAAAATAGAAAATCCGTAATGTTTGTAGGAAATTTCAATCCCTACGAGATCCAAAAAATCTTTGATTAATCCGTTTATGGATAAATCTGATGAAGTAGAGTTCAATACTGAACGAATCAATTTTTCACATTTATTGGGATTCTCAAAATAGAAAGAAACATTTATACACATAATACTATTATATAAATTCATGGATAAAATTGATTAAATGTATAAAATTACCATTTGAATAGATGTATTATAAGTAAATATAAAAAATGTAAAAGATATTTGTACTTTGATACTTACGAAGACTTGAATTGTAACTGATGAAGAAGATTTGTTTTGCAATGATTATATACTACAGTTTTTTTTTGATTACCTGATATTATTTTTCTAGGAAAACATATTCCTTTATTTTATTGTCATAAATTTTATTAGTGCATTAAAAGAATATTTGATCGCTTAATTTAAATAAAGTAATTTTTTCATGTCATCATATTGTGAAATTAAATGCACTTAATATGAAATAATTCTTTTAAGTAAAAAACGTCTATTAAACAAAGATTGAATGAATTATTTAATTTTTTACTAAACAAATAATCAAACAATAAACCACTTTCTTGATAAAAAAAAAAGATATGACATGATGGGGCATGACCTATGACTATTACATATGTAATAATGTGTAAATGTATTACATCAGCTTACAAAAATGTATTATAAAAGCACTATAAAAGCTACAAAGATATAGAGAAAATATTTCACTAATAAAGAAACTTTCTTGGAAAAAAAATGCATTTTACAAGTTTCAATTTCTACTTGTACGATTAATTATTCATTTGATTATTGCACCAACAAATTTTATTTCTAGGAAATAGGGGCATTATATATGTAGGTATAACATCAGTTTACAAAAAAATGTAGTATAAAAGCAGTGTTAATCAAAATCTACTTCTTCTACTAAAATGGTAATTAACACTTCGCTACAAAGATAATAACTATTGTAGAGATGTAGTAACCATTACGTTTTTCAAAATAAGTTTCTAAGGGTTAATTATATTGATAGTTCTTTAAGTTTCAATTGTGAAATAATATGTAATATGTATTTAAAGTATATAGTATAATTAATAATAATTTATTGGCCAAACATGAATACATAAGAAAAAAAAGTACATTCTAAACATAGATAAATTCTAACATAAAAAAAATATATTAATAGGCTGCCCAAAGGGCAATAATTAATATATTTGTTTTATCATATTTATTGTAACTATTTAATTAGTTACTGATTATAATTATCATAGATTTATATGTATACAATTACTTCATTTCAAAGACAATAAGACATTATTCGAGTATTTTCAAAATAAAGGTTTAAAAATGTAAATTATTTGTATTTAAGACAAACATTATAAATAATATAATAATAAATAATATTTATATGTACCTTATTTAATTGAAGATGTTTAAGTTTTTGAATAATTTGAAAATATAAGGCAATTACCACAGATTGTATCCAATAAATGTGTATTATAAAACCAAATATATAAAACACAGAAAATTCGTAATTTTTTTTTTCTTCTTATATATGTTCACTTGTAATTCATTTGTTAATTATTTAATTCATGTTATTGCTGTTGTAACAAATATTGTCAATCATTATGTTATTGCTTTTTGCAAATATCAAACTAAAAACAATTGGAATGACTGAAAAATATAACATTTACAATTCGCTCAATCATCTTATTATTTTAGATAGAAAATTGTTTGCAATAGAAAATATTTCTAATTTCATCACCATCTCCAATTTGAGAAATTAATTTTTACTTGATCAGAATTCAAGCGGAATTGAGGAAATCTGATGTGTCAGTTTGATTATATTATATTTGCACAAGAGTTTACATCTCAAGAATCAAAAACAGAATTTAAATAAATTAGTGCACATTTAGAAGTTATAATTTTTGTAATATTCATTTTTTTTAAATGATTTATGACACATTTAAGTTGTAATTAGTATAATTACTAAAATGTTGAATGATTTTTGCATTTTCGTTTTTTTTTTCAAATAATATTGGAGGTCGAAGAGGATAGTAATGAAACTACTTTGAGATAACGTTCCGAGCTTTCGAAAAGTTTAGTAAGCACATAAATATAAAAAGCACATGGGAGATATCTGAGATATGCATTGCTTCTTTGTAAAAATCCGGTTTATTTGTTAGATCGAATGCTCGAGGGAGAAGAAAATAAACTGGAAGAGGGGAAAGTAAAACGAGCGAAGGCGAAATTGAATTACCGCGACCTATTAAAATATTTACGGCCGTGTAAAATCCATACACATCTCATTTTTTTTTATATTCCTTTTCTTAGCTGCTGCTGTTGTTGTTGTTCGCGTTGTTTCGTGCGAGGGTGAGGTAACACCGGATTTGAAATGGGGGCAGGATAAAAGCAATGATTAGATGTGTGGATTTGGCAGGGCCGCTTTTTCCTCGGGTGATTAGATACGCCGATACACATGGCCCTTCCATATATATATATTTTTTTGCAGACAAAAAATATTCCTGAAAACTCACCGCAAATACGCGCGCACGGTTCCATATCGAGTCAGTTTTACGGCTTCATTTTACGAGTACTCTCTTTATATCCATCGAATCCCCCTCGGGGGTGGCCACAAAACAGCCGCGACCAAAACTTGACATATTAACTCCAATCTATCCATCGATTCGTCGGCCACCGCGAAATGAGCTTTCCGAGCCGTTCACCATTTATGCAACATTGTGTCGCGCGTTTCCAATGTGTACATGAATTAGTAAACAAATAATTAATTAATAAAATAATAATAATGTTTATTATAACATAATACAACATTTTTATGGTAATAATGATTGAATAATTGTACCCATTTTTATATATTATTTACAAACGTTTCAATATTTTCAATATTACAAACACATTTTTTTTAAATATACGGATTTTGTCTACATATGACCAAAATCATGTAACACGATAGCGCTCGTGTACAAGAAAAACAAGATTATACAAATCTTCAGCCGGCTTGGGCGTGAGTCCGTGACGTGGGAAGGTTCAGGGCGCCACTTCCTTTTCCTGAGAGGAAGAACTCTTACAACTGCTTCCTCAGATCAGCACACTTTTTCTCCGACGGTGGGCCTTAGCTCCACCAGAGCACCAACACCGTCCTCTTGGAGCTTATAAATATATATTAATATCTTCTCAACTGGAGACCTCAACCGTCTTCTTTCGTGGTTCCTTGCGGTCTCACCACGTTACAATCATTATGTTTTTTTCTTTTTGTAAAATTATCAAACAGACTGAAACCGGTATTTCTGAAATACAACATAATCATCTGCTATGATGACCCTTCCTGTTATAAAAACTCACAATCTGAGATTTGACTGGCGAGTTATACATAACACATGCCAATTGTCAAACAGAATTTACGAAGTATAGACGTATACACCGAAGAACATTCTTTGTTATTCATACTTTAACAACATGTGTTTTACAAATAGTGATAGTTTTAAAGAGTTCATAGAACATATAGAGAGGATCTATGGAAAACCAATTCGAAACTAGATATCAAATGTACCCTGCATCGGTAGATGTCCAGAAACGAGCGGAATTAAAAAATCTGTTTGGTGAGGTAAATTTGTTTTTTTTTTTTTTAAATTTATATATAATATCTATTTTTATTTACACTTTCTTGGTAATTTTTACTTTGTTTGTAATTACACTTTTAACCTTTGGAATCGCTGGTGTATTTCGATGTTAGAGTTGTTTGCTAAACCCCACATCTGTATACTATATGATTATATTGGTTTGAGTATTGATTTGTATATCAATATTTGTTATCGAGCGATAGCACAGATTTTTTTCCATGTAGCCAATATAGTTTGGTGAATTTCAGACCTAATTCATTTCTCTTTATTGATATATGTTTCTTTCAAGTGAGTCTTCTATCCAGATGCATGCCAATATATTTTACATGATCCTCATATGGTTGAACTTACTCTTACTGAAGGCACGTTTTCTTTCTCACCATAAAGGCGACATGAGTCGATTTCGTTTTATTGACTTTAATTAGCCATTCTTTCTTCACTTTGATTTAGTTCACTTGGCAAGTTTTGCAATGCAACTTCTTGTTTACTATAGCGACAGTAATTTTATTGAAGATAAGTTTCCAAACTTGATGTTACTACGCCTCCCTCAAAAGTATGTCGCCTGTCATTTGGCGCCTCCCCTCCCCCCCTCCATTTCATAAAAGACATAAAATTTTAGCAGATATTTGGAAAATATCGCTCACTGCGACTAATATTCGCGCCTCCCCTTAGACTAGTCCACGCCTCAGGGAGGCTTGCCTCACAGTTTGGAAAACGCTGAGTTAGAGAATAGGTCCTAGTACGTTTCCCTGTGGTACAATATGTTTCACTGTGACCATATTGTTGACATCTAATACATTGAGAAACTTCTCTCTTTTTTCATCATTTTACAATTTCCGATATATTGGATTTCATATGCAGTTTTTTTGTTGACATTTGGGACAAGGTCAACGAAAAACATGGGAAGTGGCTCTTTTGTCACTCGGTGTTTCACGTTGTGAATATTTATTATTTTAGGACCTTGTATTTGTATGCTTTCTTTAATTTCCTCCTATTCCATTGCGTGATGCAGATTATTCAGAAAAAAATCGAAAATTTGCGTTGAACGAGGTTTCCACCTGCAAATTGTCAGGTGTTTTAGTGTATGTATGTATTTGGCCACTTTATCTAAGGTCTCCTGCAGATTTCACGTGCAACGTCATTTAGTACAAAAAATGGTTGTGGTTTAGGCTGGTCGTGGATGCCTGTGCTTATGGTTCATAATCATTAATAGCCAGTGACTGAATTTCTTTCCAGTTACTACATAATCGTTCATAGTTTTTTGTTTTCTTTGTTTTTTGAAATCTCTCAGTTGTTTTCAATCAAAATCGGAATAAAATATAAAGAAATTGCTGATGTAAGTGATTTAAGTTTCATTATCGAGAAGTTGACATTTAAAACAGTATTAATGGAATTCAATCGCAGACACAGTTATTAAAAACACGTTAACACCATTTTATTTTAGTAAGATATTTGACGTTTCAGATATTATTAACGTGTTAATTAGAATATTCTAAAAACCTGTTACACATTAAATCATTAAATTTATTCAGATTATCAAAACTGTTTTCTTTTATTCGAATGTATACACCAACTCATCTCCTATTCATTTATAAATTAGATGTTTATGTATTCTTATCTGCAAATTGTAAATTGGATTAAGAACTCATATTTAAGTATCTAAATAAATAATTATTTTTGAACACCGACTTTAATTAGCCCTTGAAAAAAAACGTTCTAGGACAATAATGACGGCTTGTTCATGTCCATTTCTGTTCGCCCGTGCATGACCTCAGTGAGGTTGATGAGCGTTGAAGTCTCCCACCTAAAGGTAGGAACCTTCAAGACTCTCCAGTGTTTGAAATGTTCGCTCTTGATGGCATCTACTAGTTGTAATAGGATAGGTGCAAGGTTGTCTTCCTGCTGCTCCTCCTCAGATACCGAAGGTTTATACGCAAGCACTTTTGGTGGAGATTGTCTCTTGCTGCGTTCTCTATATTTTGGACGATTTGATGGGCTGGTAAAAGTCGCCCTCATCCTCTTCGGAGCTACGGGTTGGCTGAATGAGCTGTAAGAATGGTCCCAGGCGATGCTTCTTGAAGAGGAGACTAGTTGTAGATGGAGGAGGGGATCGAGTTCTTAATACTTATGCGAATGTTTGCTTATTAGAGGCTGGTACGTCGCTAGGCATAGAGTCTTGTCTACCTAATATTGTGGGAAACGCACGATATTGTCCTTTCGACGGGTTTTTATCTGTCAGTTTGCTGGTGAATTTGTTCGTCTCGTAAAAAGAACATTGATAATTAACCATGTTCTCTTTGATGGCTTTCTGCCTGATATACTCTGTGCAGACTCTATCAGCTAGTCGTAGATTTTGTTCGTTTGTTAAGTGTAATCTTCCACAGTACAGACAAGTAGGCTCTTCTTTGTTGGAGCAGAGATCGAGGCTGTGGTCTTTGGCGCATGCTGGGCATCGTATGGTGTGGCCGTACCTAAGATACCCGAAGCATTGGATAACCCTAGGCATGTACCGCTCTACTGTTCTGTTGTTGTATAACATATTAGTGTGTTTCGGAATCCTCTTGCTGTTAAAAGTGCATATTATTGAGTTAGTCGGCTCATAAATTGTATTGTATTGTATTTATCCTTTCGATCTTTATGATTTTTATTCCTTCTTCGCATTTGATCTCCTCCACGAGTTGTGTTTCGGAAAAATCTCTCTATATTCCTAACAATTCATTTACAACTCACCAAATGGTAGGGAATATAAGTTTTTCATTACTAGGTAATGATGATCTTAGAAATATATAGTTAAATGTTATCGCAACACGGTTACGGCCTCTGTTTTTCAGTTAACTTATATTCTTAATTTTTCACTTTTTCAATTTGCTGCCCATGGACATTGGCCAAATAGATGAATCCTCTGAGGGTTCTTCATTGATCCTTAATGGACCATCATCTTTTGAAGAAAAGAGTAGTGTTGAGTCCATATTCTTAAATTTTATTAGATCTGCTACTATATCTTTGATGTGGGAGGTGATTTGGATCGATCTACCCTCTTTGTTTAAATAAGTATTTGCTGTCAGAATTCGCGGTATTTTATTTATCAGCTCTTTTTTAATTGGCAACGCACCGACGTTTTTTTTCTTTTTTAAAGATAAAAACGATTTAGCGATTTCTCTTATGCGCATGCTCACATCATAAATCATAAACAGTCGTTCTTATACTCCAGTATATCACAGACCGTTAACAGGCTTGCTCTGAGTCATTATTTACCAAATAATATATTAATCACGTGAGTTAACCTTTCTTTTAATTTATACTTTCCTTATACTTTAACAACATGTGTTTGCAGATAGTATTGATTGAGAATTATCAAGATGAATACATTTACTAAAGAAGAAATCAGAGAGTTTAATGTTCGTTTATTGAATGTGCTTGAACACGATGAGTGCCGAAATCACTTTAGACACTTCATAAAACGTAATCATAATAATAAGGAATATGAACAGAGACTTCGAATTTGGGAAATTAATTACCACATGAAGAAAAACCCTGAATTTGTAGATGACCAGCAAAGAGATGAATTAGAAAAACTGTTGAATCAGTTTAATTATGAAAATGAAAATAACTATGAACTTATAAACATAAAGAGGTTGGAGGGTGATCTGCACATCGGGTTCATGGCTTATCTCGAGAATCAGAACACAAAACAAAGATATATGTGCAAATTGATGTAAATATAGTATTATTATTATTTATAAAACACGTTAACAACGCCATTTAATTTTAGTGAGATATTTGACATTTCACTCATCTTACAAAAAATGTTAACGTGTTAATTATTATAATAAAAGTAAGATATATTTTTTTTTGTAAAATTTTGAAATATTTATATAAATTTATAAGGATAGGGGCCCTGGCTTTCGAGGTACTCAAGCTAAGACATTTTATATTGTGTTTTTATTTAATGTCATATTTTTTTATTAGAGGGCCCCAAAAACGTCTCGTCTGTAATCACACTTTGAGAGTCATTGATTTATTGTATAATAAATACGTATGTCGTTAGGCCTGTAACTTTTTTCTTAATTGTATTCCTAAAACCTGTTACACATTAAATCTAATATTTATTCAGATTATCAAAACTGTTTTCTTTTATACGAATGTATACACCAACTCATCTCCTCTTTATGTATAAATTAGATGTTTATGTATTCTTATCTGCAAATTGTAAATTGGATTAAGAACTCATATTTAAGTATCTAAATAAAGTATTATTTTCAAACACCGACTTTTAATTTGCCCTTGCCCAAAAACGTTGAAGTCCTACACACAATATCCAGAGATATTCCAAAACAGGACAATAATGATCCAAGTTTTGTAACTATTTTCTATTAGAAGCAATTTTGTATCTAAAGGGTGTTCCAACAAGAGTGTAAAATTAGATTTTCTAATCTTGTTGGGATAATATCATAATAGTTTAGCAGTTATTTTATTTTATAAATAATTTTTTTAACGAGTGTTCATAAACATATTTGAATCAGAAATGTAAATGAACTAAAATTTACTAAATCTGCTCCATTGACTGTAGTAATCACAGGCGAATAATATTCAAATAACAATTCTTTTAATTACCAACATTTAAACCTTTAAATTCAAATTTACGAAGTTGATTGACTCACAAATTAAAAGATTACGTAGAGTACAAATAATCTTCTATCTTTAGCAAATACATGTGAAAGTACTTTTTCAGGATTTTGGTTTATTGCTTTTGGAGGTTCACTTATGTACAATCAACAAAGTCGTGATTGCTATACTTGAAAATGCTAAAGTAGCTCGGTTATAATTGTTGGTTGAAAGGAAATTTAAGTTTGCCTCCCCTTTTCAGCTCTTCTATTATTCCCATCAAGTCTCGGTAATTGAATAAGTGTATCCGCCGAAAAGGAAAAAGGGTTGCAAATTGAAAAGTCGTCACAGTGCGATGTACGTGCGATTTTAATAAAACCCGGAAAACTCTCACTTCAGCCAAACCCCCGATGTTAATTTTCAATTTTCCTCTCAACTCCTTCTAACTAGCCTCTTTACATGCTAATTGCCTCCCGTTTCGCACAGAAACACGGTCGTCCTTCATTGTTGCTCCAAAGATTCCTCCTTCCTGTCCTCGGACGTTTCACCCTCCGCAAATAAATACTCCTGCGACTCCATAAAAATGCCATGCATGAACTCCGCCGTATTCAACGGATGATTTAGAGTCCACGGATGGTGGTATTGTGCTGGCGACGCAGGACTACTCAATAAACGCCACCGACGGGAAATTACTAACACCGGATACCACATTTTTTTACCTCTTTTTTCTTTCCACTTTAAAATATCATAACTAGCGATGAACTTCCTTGCTTCCCTGCGCGCCCTTTGTTCCTCGACGCGGTTGTCACTTTATCTCGAGATAAGTGTAAATCTTTATCCACCAAAAACGACGTTTCCTCTTTGTCGTCACGTTCCTTATTTTATATTAAATTTGTCCCTTTTGCGCAGAGACGAAGAACTCGCTATATAATAGAAAACAAAAGGAACGGAATACGTTTTTCTTTGCGAGGAAACAAAGGGATGAAAGACGAGAGAAGAAAAATAATAAACAGAACATTTGAAAACTTGCGAATTTCCTGGAAGAAATATGCAAGTAAATGCTGCAGAATAAATGTAAAATACGCTCATTCTATTCATCGGATTTAAAATAAAACTTAGTTAATAAAAGAATATATCTGACATTCAATTATCCCTCATCCACAGAAAGAGTAACTGTCAACCATAAATATGTACCAACTATTATATATTGTGTGTTTAAATATGTCTTTTATTAAACAAAAGATTTTACTTAATTATAGCAATATTATAGATTGTATACAGATTAAGAAGTTTTTAGCAAATGTGACTTCAGTTTAGAAAAGTGGTTACATTGGTTTCTGTTAAATGTCATTAGTATAAAGTTTGACAAACTGTGACGTTGCGCAATTAGTTGTATTTTTTTTGTGTGTGAGTGTCCGCGATGACCGAAGAGGTGGACAGCTTGAGTTTGGAGTCGGAGCAAACTAAGTCTTCGGCGAGCGGCCCCAAATCGATAACGGTGAGTGAATTTTGAATGGATCGTGCGGGCATTAAGTTGGATGGTCCACATTTAGTTCACATCAATAAGACACCATTGGTCTTCGTCCGTCGAGTACATTTTCATCAGCATCCTCTACTGCATTTCCACGGACAACTTCAGCCGAATAAAATACACGAACTTAAACTGTAAGTGAGAACTAGTTAACTAATATCGGATTATCTGGATATTGCCGAAGCTCCAAACATGGTTCAGTACTTGATTTGCATGCTGGTCGTGGGAATGCCCATCCAGTATATGCAGGTGTCCATTGGTCAGTACACTCAAATGCCGGCGATCTTCCTGAAGTACATGAGTCCCGTCGGTCACGGTATAGGATACGCTTTCCTGATTGCTACCATTTTCCGGTTGTTACCAATGGGTACTCTGGCAGGAGATTGCTTGCTCTACTTTCTTAATAGCATGCAAGCCAAGTTACCATGGTACATGTGCAAAAGAGCATACAGGAACTTCTGTTGGGATGGACCCATCTGTAAGAATCAGGATTGTATAAGTGACAAAGTTTTTGCACCCGCCTACGTTTATTGGAAGTACTGCAGACGTGACAGCTTCTTCAGCTAATTAATACTATCTAACTTCTTAGCCACACTTTCATGCAGACCATTCCGGCAGAAGCGAAGCTGACTGGACCGGATATTCGGCGACTCGTCACTGTCAGCACCGTTTGGATCATAGTCTATTGTATCTTGATCTTCACTAAGCACATCACAAAAAGAGTTAATACTAATTTATTCAGGATTATCTCTGATTCAATAACATAATATTAATAAGATGAAGCTGAAATTGAAACTTTCAGATTTTGAAATACATGTTTTTTGTGTCGTTTTGCATCCTGAATTTGATAGTGCTCGTGCTGATAGCAATGACCGATGGAGCCACGAATGGCCTAAGGATTCTCATGGAGTTGTCCTTTAATCAGTTCCTCGAGCCGAACGTATGATGCAAATTGGATTTTGTAAATTACATTTAAAGAGTCCTTTTTTTTTTGCTCCTTTCCGAATTCTGCAGCTATGGATGAAGGCTATGACCGATATGGTGGCAATGACGAGCCTCGGCCGTGGTGGTTTCATACTTGCAGGTTCATACCTATCGGCTTCCAGTTCTTCGGGCTTGATCACCGTTATGGCTGACATAATATTCGTCATATTCGTGTCCGTTTTCACGATTATGTTCCACATAAACTTTGCAATCCTTTCTACCGCTGCCAAATTGCATAAGGCCAACATGAGCCAGGCAGTCGGAAATCCCAATGAACCGGTAGAATTGACAATCATACCAAATGGATTAGGATATACTAGTACGTATAACCGATTGTATTATGATATCAGAGCAGATTTAGCTCCTACTATAAGTAAATAATTATCTATACAAATAACATTAGTTTAATCCTAAGAAACAAATCCTATTTGTTTTATATAAAAATATACAAGTTAAAATAAATAATTTGAATTTAACAAAATCAAATATTTCAGATTTAAGTTAGATCAAGTTTAATTCCTAAATAAACTTTGTTGCAGATGTCCCACAGCTCTGGAATGTACTTTACTTTTTAGCTTCCATAATTTTCTGCTACAGTTTTATAATTATAAACGTTAGAATTGTGGAAATTACGATCGAAGACTCGCACATGAACTTCCGGCGATACCGAAAATACATATTATTCGCATTCTTGTCAGTAACATTGATTGGAAGTGTAATTTTCGTCAGTAATGTAAGCATTATTATTATTTTATTGTTGTAAAAACTAATTTATTTTGAAAAGTTTTCAATATAATCAAGTGTCTTCGAAAAGTTGTTATCAAAACTTGTTCAACAAATAACAAAATAATTTCCCCCTCCCCCGTTTTAATGCGAATTAGGAAGTTTGCCTTATTGAAATTCTATATATTTCGCTTAACTTAACATAAAATATCATTTTACATCTTCAACTTTCTTCACGCCACATGCGGTGTTTGCGTGTGTGTCTGCAGAGTTTTGGTGACTTTTCGCCTTAAAGTTTCCTACTTTACGACTTGTTGAATACATGGGATTGCCTGAAATCCTGCTCTTCCTCGACCATGTTCTAAACATACCGGCTTATACTAGGCAAATTACTAAGTAAATAGCTTCGAGAAGTTGCTTATTAAATATGTTAAACTCGATTATGGTTTTAAATTGCGTCACACTATTTACATACATTATTCCAATTTACTTTGTTGCATTTCCCAAAAGTTTATTGAAATAACAATTATAATTTGATTATAAGTTAATTTAATTCAAAATATATTTGTACTTAATGTTTTGACTTGATTCGATTTGACTTTCTTAAAAAGTTAGAATAAATGCATTTGCGATCTATTAGAAAAATATTATTAGATTATTGTACAGTGTGTGTCAATGTGTATTATTTTAAGTTTCACCCATTCAAGAACTATTTTCACAAGTTCTTGTTTAACTAAGTGTAATAGCATTTACTTTGTTATGACTTTATAATGATTGAAGCTGTAAATATTGATTGATAATTAATTTGCAGGGATTATATATGTACACCGTGGTAAAGTACAAGCAATCTTTGGACTATTTTGAGGTCTTCATCACGTTTACATTTACGATGCTCGTCTCCTGGATATACGGAGTCCAGAAGCTCTGCGATGACATCCATTTCATCATCGGAGTGCAGCCTGCGCGCTACTGGAAGATTTGCTGGTATTTCGCACCGTTGGTCTTAGGAGTAAAATAATTCTCTTCAAACCATTCCCACCGATTACTAAATAATAATAATATGAACAGATCGTATGTTTGCTGCAAATCAAAGAGATGAGCGACGAGATGAACATCTACACAATGATCGCAGTTGCACTTCTGGGATGTCCTCTAACCGTGATGAGCATCATCGAAACTTTCCGTTACATAAAGCGAAGAGTAACAGCTTTTCGATACTTGAACTTGTATTTTGTAACATTTTTTTTTTAGAATTTACTCGGTCTCTTCCAACCGGAGGAACATTGGGGACCACCCGAGCAGTCCATCAGACACCTCAGGTTGATCTTCAATCCTCGCAAAGAGGTCAGATCGAGACGAAGGAACGAGACTTGCCAACACAAATGTTTATTGGGTAGTAAAGCATTGAAACGCGTCATCTACGAAGAAGAGAAGTTCCAAACCACGTTCGAAGATGCGCAACAGCAGAAGCAAAATCAAACAGTCGAGGAGAATCAGCAAAATGCTCTGAAGGATAATCCATAACTTCGTACAAATTATTGCAAAATTTTTATTCGCAGATTTTCTTTTGTCTGTGTGTAAATTATGGATTTTGCGATGAATAATAAAATACTTTTGCAACAAAGTTTTATAAATATATTTTTTTCGAAACTCTTTATGCATCGCAAGATCGTCTGTTCCTTTTCCCTCTTCCTTGATACTTAATTGGAAACTCTAATACTAAGCGCGTTTCTCTTGCGTCCTTCTTTTTTCACGAATCAATTTTATTCATGCGAAAATATTCACCGCTAATGAAGTTTCTTGCAATATTTTAATCACTATATTCATTATTTAAAAAATATCTATGAGAAATTCCCAAGATATTATAGAAGCAATTATTTTAAGGAGTACCACAAGGTTCTGAAAGTTAAATAAAGAATGTTCGGTAAACTTACGATGTACGTAAAAATTTATACTTACTTTTATATAATCTTCGATAATTTTATCCTTTAGTTATAAAAAAAAATGACGTAAGTCAAATTTCATACATTTATATTATAATAAATTGAACTACTTTTATGAAAATATCTCTTAATTTATTAATGTGAAATTATACATCACTATTGAAGGTATATTCATCAATAAAAGCACAATAACAATAAACACTTAAAATCTAGATTATTTGGCATTTACTTGTGTAACAGTAATCTCTTGGTATTTGGAAGTAAAAATGTTTTATGTTACCTAATTTTCATTTAATATTATCTAATATTCTACTGATGAACAAATACATTTTGCATTATATACATATCGTGTGTATTACAAAAATAAAGTATAAAGACTAGGTACAAAATTTAATTATATAATAGAAACTGAGCTAAAAGAAAATTAAAGTAAAAAATTGAAGGCAAGCTTTTTTCAGCAAAAAATTAAAAATAAAGTGAATGGATTTGAGCTATTCTGCGAAGCGTGTTTAGGATCAAAAAAACCATAACCATTGGATTTAGCACAACAGATATACAGACAATACTTACCAGGGGGATAACAATTGCATTTGTCGCCAGAATAATCCGAAAAATTGATAAATTTTATATGTAATTGTTTTAATTTTTATTTATTTATTTTTGTTTCAAAACCCGTATAAGAAATATAAATGTAAGGGTAACGAACAATTGAAAATATCTTACAATTTGTTTATATAATATATAATAAAAATGTATTAATTGAATAATTTTAGTATCCATTAATTCTGGCAACAAGTGCATGCACGACAAAGCAGAATAGCCCTGGAACAAGAGCAATATGTTTTTATTTATTCTTCCTCAAGCTACCTAAAAAGTCCTTCAAATATTTGGTACCTATTGTCTTCAGAGTGCCTTTGATGTTGTCGTACAGCGGATTCGAGGTGGTGCTCGACGCTCCACTTCCGAACGGTCTCGTTCCGTAAGGGTTGCTTCCATAAGGATTGTATCCGTTGTTGCCGTTGTAGCCGTTGTTGCCCATGTATCCGTTATTGGAAGGATAACTTGGGTAATTGGATTGACCCGGGTAACCAGAGTTCGGTTGTCCTGCATACCCGGGGTTAGATTGTCCTGGGTAACCGGTGTTAGGTTGTCCTGGGTAACCTGTGTTAGGTTGTCCTGGATAACCAGAGTAAGGTTGTCCTGAGTATCCGTTGCTAGGTTGTCCTGGGTAACCAGAGTTGGTTTGTCCTGGGTATCCGCCGTTAGATTGTCCAGGGTAACCGGATCCAATGGATCCTCCTTGATACCCGTTCCCTCCTGGTGCTCCACCACGGTTTACGTGCGGTCTGCTTGTCGTTTGACCCCTCGGCGGTATTTGGGGATAGAGCGGAGCACTAGGGGCGAGGCTTTCCTTCGAATTACCCGCGTTTGCCGCTGAAATGAAATCGTGGAAATTGAGACGCGATTAATCCAAAAAAATAGTATTACAATTTCATCAATTTACCGGCCGGTGATTTGTCGTCCACGCATTTTGGTGTACCTCCATCGTCAATGCAGACGGTAGTCGATGGACACACGAAAGTCTGGCAACTCGAAACGCTGTTACTCAATTTACGACAAGTAGGATACCTGAAAGGATAAATTTAGCAAAATGTAATAAAATTTCAATATAATAATACTTACATCCCGCATGGTTGATCGCGACTGTAGCAAGGATCTTCAGCCATGACGCATTCCTCGTTGCTCCTGCAACCGATATCCGTACAGGATCTTCCATATTCTAAAAAATTATCAAATTCATTATTACCAATGATCAAAACTAAATTTTAAATACTTACTGGAGTAGGCATCGCCGTATCCCAAAACCAAGACCAGGGCAACGAAGATGATTTGGGTCTTCATCTTCTGGATTATAAAAGAGCAATTAGAACTTCCCAAATTGAGCGTGACAATGGAATTAATGTATCCTTCCGAAATCCGCAGATTTGATTCAATTTTTATGCAGCGACATTTTCTGATGGTGTCGCTTTTTAAATAAAACCGGTTAAAACCGGAAATAGCGACCTGGGCGTGTGTGTATAATAACGGCCGTTTATTATCAATTAACGGATGGCGCGGGGGAGCCGTGAATAATAAATTGGCTCTAAAAGGTTCTTGATGGCATGGAATAATAGAGGTTTTCCCAGCCACAAATCACTTTAGAGGAATTTTTCACTGGCTAAATATTGACAAACAGGGCATGCAGGAAATATAAAAAAAAAGTGTGCGGAAGAGAGAGAGAGACGAATAAATAGATGTGAAGAGAAAAATTGGAGTCGACAATAAATTACGTACACTTTGTATGGACGTGATTTAATTGAGTTTGCTTCTCTCACTCTGTCGTTTTTTTTATGTTTTTTTGGTACACAACAAAAAATCCAATCATCCCTATTGCTTTTCCAACGATATTATATTTACCGCGATTTTAACACCGATCGTTTCGTGGTGCAATAATAGGTGTTAACTTTATTTTATCATCACACACATCGATTTAGTTCGTTTAGATTTTTTTTTGTTAAATTACACTTTTTATACAGTTTTGACCTATCAATAGTGAAATAGTCATTAGAAGAATCTCGAATATTTATATAATTTTTTCATCAATTTAATTGAAAAATATTTTTAAAGATCTATGATTCATATCATTTCCTATTGTAGTTGTACAAATAATTAGTTAAAAAATAATTAATTTGTCATATGTTTCCTATAATTTTTGAATGAATTGATGATTTGAACAGAATATTATTAAAACATTCATACATTTGTTTCATATAGAGATTCATACTAATACTAATATTTATTTCAACAATTATATAAGAAAAATGTGAAACATAAAAAAATGCGTATGAATCATAACATATTACAAATATATTTTTATGTTTATAAAAGCAGTTGAAAGAAAATAAATACCGGTTATTATAGAATGTTCACACTGAGACTCATCTAAAAACAGCTGATTAATGCTGATAAATTTCGGAATTGCATCATTTTCATATGTTTATTATTATTTTGTAGCTTTTGCAATCAAAATTTGTAAAGTAAATAAGTTTACATTTATAATTAGCATAAGTTTTCAATTTGATGCATAAACATCTTCTCTTTTTTTTATTCAAAATGTTGTAATAACTTTCTAAAATGAATATTTTATGTTATTAGTAAAGTAAAGAAAAGTAAGAAATAAAAATATTCTTATGACCTAAGGTTATCTTTATAAAATAATCTTGTGGTAAGAATTCCAATAAATCGACATTATATGCATATTTTTCCTTCGTCCAGCATCCGAGGATTGTAATCAAAATTTAATAAAGTGATACAAAATATTTTTTTTTTAATATTTACGTTGCAATTTAATCTGTTTTAATTTTAATAATTTTCAATTAATATACTGGTGACTGTATTTTATTTATTTTTTTTATTTTGTAAAGTAAAGATTTTTTCGTTGATGATGATGTCATTAATATAATTAACTTATTCTGGGAATTTTGCATATTACGTAATTGAATTGTGTAAATATGATAACAGAGTAGTCAAGATAACATAATTAAACTATGATACATGCTTGGATTAAGGTTTAGAATTATCTTAGAATATTATGCAAAAAGTTGTTTATTTAAGCCAATTTTCAAAGAAACCAAATTTGTTTGTTATTTTTCATTTACAGGATCTTTACTGAGAACTTTGTTTCTATCACCTGCTCGATCCTCGCACTGAAGCGCGAGCACTTTTTTTTTCAACTTATCGCATTGAACTCTGCCTCGATAATAGACCTACACATAGTAGATCAAATGGTTTAGGTCGGGACTGTTAGGAGGCCAAAAGATCTTCGACCAAAATATGAGAGATTATGAAAGTCTTAATGACATATTTAATTTAACTTTAGCATCAATTATCACCTACCCCTAAATACAAATATAGCGAATACATCAAATACAATAAATATTGTCATTTCCATGACGACACTTAACGTCATGGAAATGATTAGATAAGTTCCAAACTGTTATTATTATATTATGATTATTTTTTATTAATGAGAATAAATTTATATTGTTTCTGATTTTAACCAGGATGGGTCAGAATGACATTTGAAAATTACGTAATTGTAATATTTACTGGAACTTTTGTTAATTTTCAATAGTGAACTAAAATTTTGAAACAAAAAATCAAGCACTTGAAACTTAAAACTATTTCAACTGACCATAGAATAATATTAACTAAATTTGTTTTCGTTGTAATGAAATAACGTCCTGTTTTTGTTGTTGATGCATTTGATGGAAATGAAATTTTTACAGTTTTGCAGTTTATTAAATTGGAGCTGCTGCGCTTTTGCATCTAGGTCGTCGCTTTGTTTGTCGGATGTTGCAGTGGAGTAATTATAAAATAACGATGGTAAATCGCATTGGAAATTAGCGTGTGTGAGAGAGAGAGATGATGTTGTACAAAGAGAGAGAGATATTTATTTTGAAGAATGGATCCGGAACAATGCAGCAGAAAGCAAGTATTAATTATCATATTCGCGGCTTTGAATGGGTGCGAAATGGTTGACTATAAATCCTTGTCTATTAAGATTTCCCCCGCAGGAACGTCTGCACCATCAAGGTGGGGAAATGAAGAAGGCCCGGTGCATACATCACGTGGACGTATTCCGGTCTCGTCGCGACGCCAGGATCCTGCGTCCTTCCAACCACCCAGCCGCATCATCCTGCTCCTCCGCATCCCTCTCACCCTTTTGGGATGGTTTCCGACAAACCCCTTCTCTCACTCTCCTCATCTCCACCACGCTTTTCATATCCATCCAGCTTTCGTCCCAAAACCACCACCCTTTCCTTCCCGCCTTTACACCAGAGCCGCCGCCGCCAAGTTAACCTTATTTGTAATTAATATCCATAGCAGGTGATCAACGGAGCAGCACCTGTAGTGAACATTAAGTCTATCCACCCCCGCAACCTCCAACTCAATTACTATTTCCATACATCATCACACCGACAATCCGCAGACTTCTCTCTTTATCTCTCTTACTCCCTCAAACCTTTCCAAAGGTCTCATCTCTCTCTCTCTCTACATATACCAACACGACCACCCTCCTATCCTATCCATCCGACACACCGCACACGTACAAAAGGTGCATCCTAATTCGAACACACTTTGACACCCCCCAGCAGCGCAGCCTTCACATCCATCGTTGCACACTAATTTATATACGCATTGACTTCCTGTAGCTACAACTAATTACACAGTATAATCACGGCCTCCCTTATTGACATTTAATCCGGCGCCAAAATCGGATCCGCACTAATTTTCTTCTTCACTTCCAATTACATAAAATGCATACTACATACACCAAAAGCTAACTCCAATTTGGACACTTCATCCGTTTAAAGCGTATTTCCATCAATAAAGTTAAACAAATCTATCAATTCAATTTGAACGTTTTCACCAAGCTATTTCAATTAAATAATTAATTTAGAAATTTTTCATATTTTTCCATATGATTATGATTTATAAATTAATATTTTTTTATATAAAAATCGTTACTTTTTGTTAATGACATGTTTTAGAAAAAAAAAAAAAAATTTCTAAATGATTAAACAAATAAGTTTATACTCTTTTTATTATTGATATTTTATATATCATATTATAGGTTTTATTTATGATCAAGTTAACTTAATTTTCTAGTAAAATGTAGCAAAATGTAAACGTTTTTTTTTTATTTCTAAAATTAATATTAAAATTTTTATCAAATATAAGTATTTTTTAATCACTGATTCAATAATTCTCATTTACTATAATTAGTTTGTAAAATAATCAATAATTTTTCTAAATGATTCACAAAAAAATACAAAATTAGGCCAGATTATAATTATATTCTTATGACTCAACTAATTGCTTTACATAAGAAATGCAATTAATTTAATAACTTCGTGTATTCTATTGATTATAGATTATAAAGGTCAGATTACTATTATAAAACTGAATTAATAAATTATGTGCAAATTGTTGATTCAATCTTCATTATTGAATCTATATTTAAATTTGAATAAAATTCCAGTTCGTATAAGAAAGAGCAGTAATATGAACAGATTTGATAAGATAATAATAAAATATGTACCTTAAAAGTATGTTTTAATTTACAAATTAATAAAATACAAAAGAATTTTTGTACCAAATTTTGTAAATTGTTTTAATAGAAAATTTGGAAAAGCTTATTGGGAAAAATAATTACAAAATAATCATAATATTTCAATTAAAAAACAGAGACAAACAAATTATGAACAGTGTACGTTTTATAAAACAACGATTTATATTACTTCGATTCACATTTCAAAGATAATTATTGACTCGGAGTTCAAGAATAAACAGCGATAAACGATAATTTCTTTTCTAAATAAAAACCCCGCAATTTTGAATGCCTTACTCTGATGCACTGATAAAAGTAAACAAAATTAGGATGCGCATTACATCCAAAAATTACATATAGAGTAGAAATGAAATAAACAATTTTAATGTAGAAAACAAAACAAAACATGTAACATTGCAAAATTTACAAACATTATTGTTGTTTTTAACCGGTGATTATTGCATGCTTGCGCACTGCGCAAAAATTTGCAAGACAATGATTAGATTGAACAACAGTAAGTAAATAATGATTAGTAGACAAAGGAAAATAAAAAAATATCTTAACTACAGTGACGGAACTACAGTGGGGCCAAAATAAAGATTTCTTAAGGGCCCTCAAATACTAAAACTAATTGGACTCACGTCTTTCTTAATGTGGACCTCCGATAATTTGACTGTTTTGAGGACCTCAAATAAAAATATGTTAGGTGCCATCAAATTTGTCTAAGTAATCCAAATTTGCTTACACCTCATGAAGCCACACCTCGCAACTTAAAAAAATCAAATCGGGACAAAGATTTGAAGTTCCACCACTGTTTAATGTATGTAATTAACTTAATTTAGTTAATGTACTCTTCTCAAGTTTATGTCCGTTTTGCTGATATTCATAAACGTTAATCTACAGTTAATAAATGATAATAAAAATCTTTGTTTTACTATACATATATAAGTGTTATGCTTTATATAATTTAACGATTATTTAATAACTTTCTAAAATAATTAATAATAATGAAATGGAACTGAATTATACAAACAATTCGGTTTGGTGTATATTTGGTGTCGGTTAATCCGTCTATAGAAATATTTAGCATTGGTTTAATGCTGTGGCCTTTGGAATACGTTTACGTATTTAATTTACCGCTTCCTCGACTTTACGTTGTTTATTATTTTTTTTTCTAGCTTGAATTCTCTTCTACAAATTTTTAATTGCTCCGACGACGTCCTTTCAGAAATGCAAATTAAGAAGTATAAGGTATACAGTAAATATATTAAATTGGATGGTTTTCCCTTAAGTTTTCTTTTATACATATTTTTCTTTTTACCAGACTTAATTGCATCTTGGATGAGAGAAATTTTCGTATTCCGGAGAAGCGGACGAAACGGTGATTGCTCAGAAAACGCGATAACCTTTTGACTGACGACTGAGAAAATAGATCGATAACGATTTAAAAAGCCCATTCGGACCCTTTTTCCCATTCATCTTCAAATGTTATTCCTCAAACCTTCATCCCTAATAGTTTGCTTAATTATTATTACCTATGCAGTTAATACTTTCTATGAAACTGTATCCAAATCTGGGTTTATCGTCTTGGAATCTGGGACTGACACATAAACAAACGCACAAATAACATACGTTGATCAAGAGAATCGCATCAAAACTGCGCTTGATGAGTGCGGGTTCCCCACCTTTTGGCATTCGACTTGCTTTGGATTGGAAGGAATTGGTGGTTACGTCACGCGGGTCGAAAGTTGGAGACCATATTTATAGATCGACGCTGCCAAGGTTTTTCCATACGACGTAGTCTTCCAATGAACGAACCTCTCTCCCACCAATTCATTCAATTTAATGTAGCTGTGTTACTACGACTTCTTTGGATCTTAGATAATGTCCTAAAGTCCTGTTTGAATTCAAACATCATCAATGGAGAACAATTCCATTTAGCTAATAATTGGATTGCGGAATAATCGTTGCGTGTTCTGAGGTCACCCGGAGGCCGGCCTTGTCCAAGGTTCTTCGAGGATGATCTCATAACTATCAGTAGCTCTTTACAGAGGCAACCAACGATGCAAACTATAGGCAACTATCGCTGCACGATCATTATCTTTGTATAAGTTACCTTGAAAACAGGTGTAATTCTACAGGGACGTACTACCATTATATTTCCTTGAGTTTACTTATAAGTTTAATAAATTTCAAATTGTTGTTAACTAACCTTTGACTATTCAGATAAAATAAGATAATATCAAATTAAATAAGCATTAATAAAAGATATGTTAAGTTCTTTATGTTTTTAATATATAATTCAAGTAAATTGTTTGTATTTACCAGTAAACGAGAGTTTCTTAACAATTAATTTCCAATTGTTTAAAAAATAGAATATTTTGTTTTATTATATAAATTATTTCAAAAACTTTAATGTTTTCAATATTCTATGATTACATAATAATGAATTATATAATTACGCATATTTTTGTATAAGTATTTTTATATATATTTAGTTATTGATTGAGATATGAAAATGTTTCGATATTTTTTTTACCATGTCTTCAAGTTTATTTTAATTACACAATAACCACGCATAACAATTAGATCTACGAATATGCAAATTAAAGACAAATCTATGGCTTTTTGATTAAGCTTATTAGAAGTTTTATGGAGTTTATGGTTTTCTTGTGAAACGACAAATATCTTGTCCTTACCTTACATTTAATTATACTCTAGCCAAATACGAGAGTTTAAACTAAAAATATGCAAATTAAAGATAAAATAATTACCTTTCCAATGAGCATACTGTCAGATTTGTTACTTTTAAGGTATTCATGAAATACATCGTCAAAATTCAGCAATGAAATATAAAAAACTTGAATCACAATTTTTTAATAATTAGATGTGTAATTATTAATTATGATTTTTAGATATATTTTCATATATAAATTTGCAAATAATACTAATTAATGGGGGTTTAGAATTTTTTTCCAATTATCATAACTTTTTTTTTTCATTTTACAGATTAACTTAAAAACTTTAGAATTTTTGCTTTATAATTTTACTAATTATGATTTATCTAATGTCTTTACATTCTTAATGAGGATCTAATTGTATATATTCAATATGAATGTAAAAGTGAAATCAATCTTCTAAATATTTGTAATAAAACGTGAATCGCATTTTATTAATATTTACGATTCGAGCTTGAGACGTTACGAAACTTAATCGATGATTATATATATATTTTTGCAGATCAATTGCGCAGTTGAAGCTATATTTACTGTAGAAAATCAGTCTTTGGCGTGTCGAGAAACGTGCTAGGAAATGAATGCTTTAATGGAACATTTATAGTGAAAAAAAAATCAGTAATACATGAGAGTCTTGAAACGTCGGAACTTTGGTCTTGACTTTCCTTTTTTAGTGTACACATTAACTGGGGTATTCCATTGGAAAAATTTTCAATTATTCAATCTAGAATGTCATGACTAGTAGGAAACCGTTATCCAGATATGGTCATTTGTTTTTATAATTATTATTTTTTAAATTGATAATTAGCGTTTTTACATATTTATTTTTTAAGTTTTAATTGTATACTTTTTTTAACGATTTGCAACTTAAGTATAAACAATGGTATTTAGATTAAATATTTGCCGGGTAATTTGTGACCTTCTTCTGCGACCCTCGACGGTCCCGTCCATATAACAAATTCGTTAATTTAGTCGGGGGGAAGACAGGAAAGGAAAGCGGACAGAACGTGGAGCGAGAAATGCGTTGCGGAAAATGCAATTCGTCGCGCCAGGAATCAACTAATAACCGTCTCCCTTTTCGTCCTTCTCTCATCCTTTTTCCATCTTCCTTTAGCACCGAATGTTGTTCCCAGTCCGACGACGGGTCAAATTTGTATTACTAAAGCCGTGTGCAATTTTCCCTTCCTCCTTCGGGAACTCACCGAAAATGAACCGTTTTAATCATTGCCACAACCTTTTCCTTCTTCCTCACCAGAAAAACAGAAACGAATGAAAATAAATACATGCGGAAATCCGGAAGTGCGACGACGTTGTTTCCTAGTTGCAAAAACTTTTTCCACGAGTCGTGATGATATTGCCTCATCCGTTTTCCCTTTTATTATTATATTTTTTTTTCCACGCGCTCGCTATATTTATTTAAACCTTCTCGCCACATAAATCAAAAAGAAATTTACAATCCTGTTGCTCCCCGCACAATTTCCATCCTTCCTCGACGTTCGCCCTTTTGCGCCACATCGCACGCAAACACTTCCTTATTGATTCCTTAGAAACAACCTTTTTTTGTATACATTCTGAAAATATTGATCATTTTATGAAAAAATCTTCATATTTAGATACATTTACTTGAATGATCTATTTTTTTTAAATGTAACAAACAAATATATTTACTTATTGAATATTTAAAAAAATTCAAAACCTTTTTTAATTTATTAATGAAAATGTACATTTTTCAATTAAATTATATTTTCTTATATACATATTGAGATTGACTTGTTTAGTCCAATATTAAAAAAAAAACGAATAAGATTCAGTACTTTTGAGTCGTGATTGAAATTGCCGTCTACTGCAATTGAACATTGTTGTTCTGTTGGAATAGGACTGTTTCCTTTGCCAAATGATCTCTTTTGGCTTTGATTTCATCGTTCCAAGGATTCAGTAACATTGCATAATCCTAGTCTATGTTATTACTATTATTTCATTAGCTGATAGAATTGGTACTGCTTATAGTTTTTTTTTTGGTAATTTTTACAAAACTCAATAAACTTTGAATTTTATTTATAAATTAAGTAAATTGCATTATATTTCTATAACAAAAGTAAAGATTATTACTTTTCCAACTATATTTGTTTTGAATTATTAATATATTTGAATACAGTTGAATACAACATACAGTCATGTTGGCATTGGGGAAATTCAATGGGAAATGATGCAGACTTTCGTTGGTAAACTGTTGGTTTAAAATTTTCATTGAAATGCATTTTCGTTTCCGCTTCAATCTCGAGGATGGAAAATGCACTTCGATTTATTGCTCATAACTTAATTACTGCTCTTCTCGCTTCTTTTATGGAGCGAAGACGCGATACCTTTTCGCTGAAAGGGATATTTTCGTCCTAAGTGCTTTTTCGCGAAAAAAAAAATATATAGCAGATTATTAAATAAGAGGGATGGGCGGAGGATGAGGCGAAAGGAAGTGAAGTAAGGAAGGAAGAAGCGGATCCTCCACAATTTCCTTATATAACATTTTTCCCCTGCGGCTCGCTGCTTCTTTCGGACTTTGGTGGATGACGGAGAGGAATACAAACAGGGCCGTATTTTCAGTATTTTCAGATACATTTTTTTTTGATGATTTCAGCTTAGTTTTTATTTGATAAAACTCTATTTTAGTAGAATATAAACTACAAAATTAAACTGAAAATTTCCTGATTTTTTTCTAACTTTGAATTATATTTAATTTATTGGAAAATATACTTAAATTTAGCTTAAATTTCTATATAATTTAATTACCAATATTTTTTTATATCAATCTTTGAAATTTTATTATTATATAATTATTATATACGTATTTCGTAGTTTTCATAAATTATTACAGAAAATCATAACTGAAGTAAATTTTTCATGGTTTTTCAATGATACATATTAGGATTTGTCATATTCATATAAAAGCACAATTGGGTTTAAAATTATTGAAATATTTTTGTTGGCTTTTTCAAATATTCCAGAAAAGTACTTGAAAATATTAAATTTTGATACATTCGAAAAATTTCAATATTAGTAATAATTTGTGATAACTACGAACATGATTTTTTGTATTTTAGTTATTTGAAATTGTGGAAAATTAGACTTGATTAGATTTTTATTTGTAATTTTTACAAATTATTTTTTTTTAGAAAAATAAACTCCAATTAAAAATTCCTTGTTTTCATTTGTTTTTTAGTTTTTCTTATTTTTCAGTATGGGATAAGATTATTTCATTTATACTGAGAATTTATATGAAAAATCTCAATTTTACATATTTTTTTTAATTTTAGTTCTTTCATATAAACTAAAAATATACGAAAAAACATAATTTGTCTTAAAATTAAATAAAAGTTAACATAATCGAAATTTTACTGGTATTTAAATACATTACATTTTTTTTATTGTTTAAGATTTCTTGTCTATAAATTTGTCCTAAAAATTTCTTGCCTGAAAAACTTCAAGCAATAGCATAAATACGGCACTGTATATAATATTTTATTCAAATCAGATCTATGTATTCATATGTAGCGGCAAGATCGGCTTACGAGGCGCAAGGGGCGGCGGAGTTGGCAGGGGAGGCAGCAAAGCTTGCGCCCCCGCCCCGGGGGGCGACCGCCGCACGTTACTTCATACGTGATACGAAGAGCTTTCGGGTAAGGAAAATCCGCTGGGGAAGAATATGCAGGACCTGCTATAAGGCAATCAGGATTTTTCAAGGCGAGGATGAGACTTGCCAAACACGTATTTCATTCCGGCTTTACTTTTTTTCCCTACTCTCTTTCTCTCATCGTTCCCTTTACCTTCCTTCCACGGCAAGTTCCGTTTCCACTTCCGTTTCCGGTCCCTCCTGGCCCAATGAAAGTTTAACCCTTTAACTGGTCTCTCGGTTTTGTCGTACGGTGCATTAACAATTTTTACAATACTCTTGGGACCGTTCGACGGAATGGACCGCTCTTAAATATAAAATAAATCTATCCTACACTCTGTGGTTTCGAGGAAGAGCCTTTTTGCCCTACACTTAACTAGCTCTCCCAACTGATTTTCCTGACAAGTTATTGCCTACTAAAAGTTACCTTCTAAACTAAGCAGAGATTATTTTTACAGCACCTACTTTCAGTTAGCTTTCTGCAGTCGTTTCAACTAACCATTGCAAAATTATTTATTCACAGAGTACAAACTGCTTAATCTTTACACCAGTTCAAAGAGCATTACAGCTTCTCTTTACAGAAGAACGTTTAGACTTCCCCAAAGTCCCATACCTATTTATTACTTATTTTTTGATTTACTATAGATTTACACTATAAAAACTTTCTAATCATTACATTAAGTAATTTCCCAAATAATTATTGATGTTTTTGTGAATTTAACTTATTAAAGGTATTTTTTGTTTTGACAATAAAGATTATTACTTTTTTGTTAATATTTTCAATAAATTTTACACAATAAAAGTCTCAAATTTATAGCATTTTTTTAATAATAAAATAAATTATGTAATAATGTTACTACTTTGTTGGCTAAATTCGATAAATTAAGTTTTAATGAATTATATAAAAATTACAAAATGTATTTTCTAGTTTTATGACACCTTACACAATAATAAACCGAAAAACATGCAATTCCATGTGCATTTAATAGCGTATATTTGGTGTCATAAAAGATCCATTACTATTTTATTAGATAATTTTATTTCATTGAGCTTTTATTTAGTAGTTGCCAAGACGATTGAATGAGTTTTGTCAAAATATGGTAAGATGATGTTAAAATTTTAAATCAATGTATTGACAAAATAGTAACGTTTCTTTTATGACAGATTATTAAACAAAAACATTGACATATAAAATTTTGCGTAAAATTTCATAACAGAAAAGTTTATTGGATAATTTGGATCCATTGGGAAGAAAATGTAAACTGTATTAAATGAGTTATAGTTTATCCAAGTTATGTAACTTTTTGATCGTAAAACTATAGAAATCTATAGGTTGGAACCTTACCATATTTACTATTTTATACAATTTCTTACTAGTTTTGAGTTCAAGTGGGTTTCAATCAGTTTTTAGTGTGTCTGGAAATGACAACTGTCATCCTGTGTCAAGTTTTTTTTCTGTTCATTGTTATATAATCTTGTATAATAAATTAATATTATGTCTTTCTAATCAATTGATTGGATTACTGAGTTGAAAATAAAGATATATACAAGGAAAATACATTATTGGGTTGCATTATCCAAAGAGATTCTTTAGTAGGTAGACAGGGGCACGTGCGAAGAAATATTACGTGACAGTTCTGCCGGATAAACGAATTTGTTTTTAACCAAATACGAAATGCGTGTGCATTATGTTTTCGCAAATAAAATTTTCCGAGTTTTAATCGAATTACTCGCAATTCGCGAAAAGCATCGCAATGAGCCCAGCAAAAACGTGCGGGGTGCCAAGCGAAAAGGGTGGAAAATATCTATATTTGTGAGTGTATGTATATATGCTATATTATTGTATGTGTGAGTATGTAATATATGCATATAGTAGGGAATTATAATTATGTATGCATGTGGGGTTCAGAGCCCAATATTTTCCGCCGGAATTGCCCTAAACATTCCGTTGCATGGACGCGTTCACAATGGAAGGTTATTGGTATAGAACAACCCCACCAGTAATAATAAAGCCGACTGATCCGAGTGATGGCGCCACCCAGGCCCGGCCTTAGCAAACGAAATCCTTCGAATTTTCCAAATTCACTTTACCGATCCTGCGGCTAAAGTTTAATAGTGGTATTATGATCAAAATATCAACAATCTTATAACGAAGAAGCCACAATGAATTCTGCAGGAACAGAGTTGAAAATCAGTATTAAATATAATATTGAAAGAATTATAATATAAACTTCATTTAGATTAACCATTTTGTTATCAAGGTGCAATAAGGATGTAAATATTACATGGAGATGCATATTTTGTATGAATTGTGTTTTATATCAGTACTAAATATAACACTGGATTGATCTTGCCATTAAAGTATGATATAAGTATTATGACCAAAGTTTTAACTATCTTGTTAGTAAGAAGCTACAAGAATAAAATATATTTTGCAGGAAAAAGTTGCAATTTAGTACTAAATTTAAGATTTTATTCATCCTACAAGTACAGTTTGATATAAATATCATGGCCCAAGGAGTTACAATCATATCACTGAGAAGTTACATTTAGCAGGAAAAAGTTTTTATAAGTACTAAACCTAACAGTCGATTGATTCGATAAGTATAGTTATAACAAGTGTTATAACCAAAGGAGTAAACATATGGCCACTAATATTCTACAAGTAAAGACGTATATTCTAAAAATGTTTAATTGGTTTGTAAATATAACCTTACAAGGTCAAAGCTAAATTGACTTTTTTGTAGGAATTGAGTTGGAAATCAATACTAAATCTAACAGTGGATTGATCCTGCCAGTAAAGTATGATATATGTATTATGACCAAAGCTTTAACTATCTTTGTTAGTAAAAAGCTACAAGAATGAAGAAAAAGTTGCAATTTAGTACTAAATTTAAGATTGGATTCATCCTACAAGTACAGTTTGATATAAATATCATGGCCAGAGGAGTTACAATCATATCACTGAGAAGTTACATTTTGCAGGAAAGAGTTGTAATAAGTACTTAGCCTAACAGTCGCTTGAACTGATAAGTATAGTTATATAAAGTGTTATAACCAAAGGTATAAACATATGGCCACTAAGAATCTACAAGTAAAGACTTATATTCTAAAAATGTAGGAATTTTTTTGTAGGAATTGAGTTGGAAATCAATACTAAATTTAACAGTGGATTGATCTTGCCAGTAAAGTATGATATAAGTATTATAACCAAAGCTGCTGGAAACAGCTGCAATTTAGTACTAAATTTAAGATTGGATTCATTCTACAAGTACAGACTGATATAAATATCATGATAAAAGGAGTTACATCATATCATTGAGAAGCTACATTTAACTGGAAAGAGAAAGCATAACAGTCGATTGATCCGATGAGTATAGGAGTAAAAATATGGCCACTAAGAATCTACAAGATGTATATTCTAAAAATGTTTAATTGGTTTGTAGATATAAACTTACAAGGTCAAAGCCTTGATGACTAGTTTGCAGGAATTAAGTTGGAAATTAATTCTAAATTTAGCACTAGATTGATCATATTGCAATCAAATTTTGTAGGAAGTATTATGCTTAAAGTCCAATAGGATACAAAGTTACTAAGAGTTGCAGTTTGCAGACATTCAGTTGGAAATGATTACTAAACTTAACGATTGAATCATTGTCCTACGATTAAATTTTGTAGAAAGGTTTAGGACAAAAGTTTTAATTGTATAAACTATTTTATTAATAAGAAACTACAAATGTGTTTAAATTTTGTAGAAAGAATTATGACCAAAGTTTAATACGATGAACTAGATAATCCTTCCATTAAATTTTATAGAAAGTATTAGAACCATACATTAAGATCCTAATTATGAACTAAACATTTGAATATAGTATATTTTGAGATGTATATTCTACAGGAGATCAATAGTAAATCCAAAATTGGATTGTTTTTTTATCAAAACTCAGTTACATGAACTTTATTTTTTATTAATAGACTACGAGGAAACAATGAATATTCTAAGAATTATATTATGAGTTGTAAATCAGTACTAAATCCAACACTGGATCAACTGGAGTCCTTATCAATATGCATGTATTAAGCAGCAACAAAAAGGAATTGCGAACAACGGACATTAGCTCTTAGTTGTTGATATGCACATACACATTACCTATGGACGTAGGCAGAGCTTTCCTTGAACAATACCCCAAATTTGGTTATGAATCGGAATATGCCTGTCAGTGCGGATTTTATACGCGCTTCGGTCAGTCGGTCCGGTCCATCCAACAATCCCGGTCTTCAATGCATGTAACTAGTCTTTGTGCAGGGAATTGATATCTGGTGCATCTGTCTAGTATTCAACACGCTCCATTCACTCCATTCACTCCATTCAATTAATATTACATTACAATACACAGATAGAGAAAAAAAGAAGAGACATCTGATTTCTACTATTTTTTTTAAATTATTTTTCTAAATTCCTTATAAAAACCATCAAAATATGAAAATGATTTTCAGTTCTTAAGAAATATTTGTAATTTTCATTTTTTGTACCAATTTTATACTAATTTACTTTAAATATGCAAAATCTGCAAAAATCCTCTTATTTTCTAATGCAAATTGTATTTTTTTTTGTGTCTTTGGTTATAAAATCATTTATAAAACTATGAATGTTTTCAAGGACTCATTGTTTCTGAACTTGGAAGAGGAGGACCGTATAAAGTTTGCTCCGGCAATAACAAGGCAGTTTATGCAACATTAATCTTAATTAGTTATCGCTCCTTAATTGAGGAGAAAATAGATGAAAAACACAATCTGTTTGTATCTTTCCAATTTTTTTTTGTCCTTTTTTCTTTACTCGCTTTCCTTCATTTGATTTCCTTCTACTTTTGATTAATTATGTAGCTGTTAAGCTTCTTGCACATAGAAGAAAACAAAGTTAATGAAGAATATGAATTAAGTTTTAACCTGTTAAATTTTAAGAAAAAAAATAGGTTTCAAATTAAATTTCAAATTTTAAATAAAAATAAACAAATTACGTGAATTTCCTGAAAATCTGAAATATTTAAGAAAAATGTTTATTTTCTGATGGTTTAAGAAATATAAAACTTTTATTAGAAATGTTGAACTAAAAATCTTTTTATTTGATCGAAAATTTCATATTTCTTAAAAAAATGAATAATATAAAATGTGAAGATTTTTTTTACTAAAAAAATAAACTATATGCAAATTCTGAGTAATTCATCTTATTATTCGCTGAACCAAAGAGTACGTGCATTAATCATTTGATTAAGAATGATAAATTGAGTTGACAAAAAAGTGAAACAATTAACGTGTAATAATCAACGGAAAAATTGCATTTTATAAAGAAAGAGTTTACCAAATAAAAAGTGATAAGGTTAAAGTTCATAGTTACTTAAACAAAAATTGCAAGTGAAAAAGGCAAATTAAGTAAACGATTTACTTAGATAATACAAGACAAAAAAAAGGATTTCTTTCGCTAATAATATTTGAAGAGTAACAGGATTTTGATAACCTGCATATCTGCACGAGCCTTTTAAAATCAATTCTTCAATCTATTTCCACAGTAATTCGTTTTATTTTAATGATGCATAGAAATCAGGTGATACCAGCTTTGCGTAGATACCAGAGAAGTCTTCTGGGCATATATAAGAAAGTTAATTTACCGGAAGTCGTATTTCCTCTTACGGAACCACCAGATGTATCCATAATTACAAAGGTATAATGATTAGTTTTTCTTTTATAATTTTCTTATTCATTTTTATTCTTTAGTTACTCAGTGATTGTTGGGAGCTGATAAAACATATCGAAATGGATCAGAGCGAATACTTGCTGAAAGCGTCGTTCTCGATGACACGATATGCTTCATTTGTCCATTATTTCGGAAAAATAGGATGTTCTTTCGATAAAGATGTTAACACGTTCTTCAAGACAACCATGGTTTCAAGTGAAGGCATGCAGGGTTTGATGCCTGTCCTGAGATGGGAAATAGATCTTATAGCGACTTACCTTCACTTCGTTAGCAGAGTGATAACAAATTCGCACATCTATAAAGGCAACTGGTCTATGATGAGGAAAAAGCACATGGCTAAGCTGAGTTTGGAGCACTCGTTCAAAGGTATGAAGGAGAAGTTCAGAAAGTTGGTCGAAGGATTCGATAAATTGATAGCTGGATTGGATAAAGCAAAGAAGATCCGTACGAGATTTTTAGCTGAGATCGACAAAGCAATCGTCCATATCAATATTTGTAGCGAAGACGTTTTTAATAATCACTCCTATGTGGATGAGTACTTTAAGGTGACCTTGAATCCAAACGAAAGGATCAAAAACATTCTGCTGGACTCTCTGAGAGAGGAACATACGAAGGCAGAAAGTAGTCGTTCGTACTGCATTACGAACTTAACCAATTTGCGCCCAGATATTGTGAGAGAAGAAAGATCTCTGGCTCAATTAAGCAATTGCTTGGGGATCATGCAAAAGCACCTTGTAGCATTTCAAAATTATAAGGTTCCCGAAGTTTATAAAACATTGTACAGTTTTGATAAGTTCCTACATAATGTACATAAGTCAATTAGAGTAGTTGGAGTGACGATATCGAGGCAACCTTTGGCAAGGCGAGCTTAATGTTTTTATTTAAGAAAATTTTCTTTTACTGTCTAATTGTTAATAGAACATTTTTATTCGTTTAAGTGATGCAACATAAAATATGTTCATTAATTTTAATTTAACAAATGGTAACAAGAACTGTTTGTTGTGTTTGTCAAATAAATTGAGTCACATGACATACAAAGGTCTATTTTTTACTATTAAATATTTGTTAGATGTATACAATAATATATTTTGGTAATATTATTCGATTCATAGTTTTTCTTCTTATTCTTTCCCACCAACACTGACTTAGCCTGTGCTTAATCATAGTTTGATATTGTCATATCAGTATATTTGACAGCTGTCACCGCTGTATTTCAGTCACGCCATCCTTCGGTATGCACCAGAAACTAATTCAGTATTTTAACCATACAAGGATTATATTGTATAAAAACTACATATCTTTATATTTGTATATTTTGAAACTATTAGTCGATTCATAGTTTGATCCTGTCAAAAGAAAATGTTTGACAGATGTTTTTCAGCATCATAATAAAATCTGCAACATAATTCTTTTATATTTTAAATACTGAAAGATAATACTGAAAATATTCGCTGAGGTAAATATTTCTAATGAAATCAGCTATAAACTTGTGTGTGTGTATTACATAATGCATTACAGAAATTGCTTTGGAAACGTGCGTATCAGTTTCACATATTTGTTGTATGTAGAATGCAGTGGAAGAGCTTGCGCATTGTGGAGGGGGCGGATTTGTTGTAGGGTGGCGTCGCGACGCGCTCGTTTCGCTTCCAGTCGGTGGAGAAAAGCGCGTCGCGACGCTCTTCTCTGGTATCCTCGTCACGGTCGTGTCTCGTGTGCTCCAATTAAACAAAAAATTATATGAACACAAAAAAAATAATTACGTATACTTCTGGTGATTGACTAAGCAATAAAATCCTGAAAACGCAGAAAATTTAAACGCGTAAAAAATTAGTGATAGTTTATTTTTATTTATTTAATCGTTCCTGTTTGATATTTTGTTTGTATTTGTATTGTTCAATAATAAAGGAAAACTTTAGTTATTTAATGAAAACAAGTTAAATCATCTAGGTAAGTCATAAATTATTTATTTATGGAAAAGTTTTGTAAAAAAGTTTAAAGTTAAAACAACTTTTATAGTGGTATTGAAAATATCTTGAAATTTGGTAAAGTTTAAAGATATTTTTGTGTAAAAATATTGTAGATTTTACGGTTTTCAAATATGTATAATTTTATTATAGAACCGTGAAAATTTCAATGAAAATTATTTACTTGGAACTAATGAGACCATACAAATAGGTAATAATGAAAGAAATAAATAAAGAAATTACTGATACAAAAAATCAGATGATTAAGATTTTATGTGTTCTTAGGTTTATGATGAAAAATCTATTTTAAGGTCTTAAATATTGTAGTTATGTACGTTTTTACAGAATTTTTTAATAGAAAATTTTTGGTAATTGGAACTAATTATAACTTTTTTTTATAATTAAATATGAAACTTAGGTTATTTTAATTATATCACAGATATAATATCTAAATATTTGATCTAAATTCAAATTTATATTTTTTTTTTCAATAAAATTGGATTTTTATACGTCATATAAAATATCTAAATAAAAATAAAACAATTCAAAATATTTTCATTTATAAGTTTTGAAAAACTAACTAATATAAAATATCAATTAATTCTCAATTTACTCGAGTTTTGTTAAAAAATAATACAAATAGAAAATGTTTCATTTCAAAAATAAAATTAAAATAATAAAAAAAATACTACATATAATAATCTAGCAATTTTTAAAATTGGATTTTAAAACCGTAAAAAAACAGAAACTTGACTGTATAGAGTGAAGAAATTGATAATTTAGATGTAATACATACTTTTCTGTACTATTTTTTTATTAGTATTTAGTTTTAATTTGCTCAATTAAAATTTAGTTTGTTATATTTTTTTTTTGAAACCGTACTATAGTGAATACGCACTTATCGAAGCCGTACTATGCGAAGTAGAGATGTTTGTATATAGTTTATTGTTTCAATCAAAAGTTTAGTTTGTTTTTTTTAAACCGTACTATAATGAATACGCACTAATTGAAGCCGTACTGTGCGAAGTGTTGCTCTCCGTATATGCAGTTTCTGAAATGGTTTATTGTTTCAATCGGAAGTTTAGTTTGTTTTAATGTTTTTTTAAAACCGTACTATAGTGAATATGCACTGACAGAAGCCGTACTATGTGAGGTATTGCCGTATATACAGTTTCTGAAAAGGTTTATTTTTTTCAATCGAAAGTTTACTTTGTTTTATTGTTTTTTGAAACCGTACTATAGTAAATATGCACTGATAGAAGCCGTACTATGTGAGGTATTGCCGTATATACCGTTTCTAAAATAGTTTATTGTTTCAATCGAAAGTTTAGTTTGTTTAATTTTTTTTCGAAACCATACTATAGTGAATACGCACTGATCGAAGCCGTACCAAGCGAGATATTGCTGTATATACAGTTTCTGAAGTAGTTTATTGTTGTTTCCATCGAAAGTTTAGTTTGTTTTTTAAACCGTACTATAGTGAATACGCACTAATCGAAGCCGTACTATACGAAGTATTGCTGTCTGTATATGGAGTTTCTGAAATAGTTTATTGTTTCAATCGAAAGTTTAGTTTGTTTTTTAAACCGTACTATAGTGAATACGCACTGATCGAAGCCGTACTATGCAAAGTATTACTGTCTGTATATGGAGTTTCTGAAATAGTTTATTATTTCAATCGAAAGTTTAGCTTTTTTTTTGAAACCGTACTATAGTGAATACGCACTGATCGAAGCCGTACTATGCGAAGTATTTCTGTCTTTATATGGAGTTTCTGAAATAGTTTATTGTTTCAATCAAAAGTTTTTTTCTTTATTTTTCAATTTCTGTTATGAGATTAATTAAAATTATTGCTGTAATATTTAAAAAAAAGCAACAAAATTATTAAACTTTGATAAAATATAAAAATAGAAACATTTGAGTTGAAACTTATTTAATTAATTTACTATAATTATAATTTAGTCAATTAGTTAATTGATATTCAATTAAACAAATAAATAATTAAACAAAACTAAAACAATAAAAAAAACATAAGGATAGACAAAATAGATAAAAACGGATAAAATAAAAATTATAAGAATAGAAAATATAAAACATGAAATTAAAAAGTTAACATTAATAAAGTTAATAACTATGAAGAACTAATAAAATTACTAACAGATTCTATAGAAAAAAACACAATGATCATAACAATTAAAAAAAGATAAGGAAATGATTAGATAACAAATGATTAAAACATTAAAAATACGCAAAAAGAGATGAAAAACCACCCAGTGAGATGTGTTAAGAAATCAATACTTACTATTTAACAAAGAAGTAGAAGATACAATTAATTTCCACCAAAAAATTTCTTTTTTTGGAAATGAAATAAATTCAAATTCATACAAGTTTTTGTTTTATTTTATTTTCATTTCCACTTTTGAATATTCCATTCTCTCTCTTTTCCACTTGCTCCAATTAAGACCCGATAACTAATTGAGATTCATTTTTAATGAAGCTCGTTCCTCGCTCTTTCTCTTTGTTCCCTTGAAATAATAAATAATAAAAAAAAGGGACGTAATTTACAAAAAAAATATTTTCACGAGCGCGGCAAAACGCTGAATTAATTATGATCTGCAGCAACAAACGAAAACAACAACGGAAAATGATACACGTACTGAAGGAGGAGGAGGAGGTTGCATGCGCATAGCAAAATACTTCTTCGCCTCGCAACAAAGTTAATTAATAACGTCCATTATTCATATGCATAGATACTCCGCATATGACAAACACTCTGAATGTTTATAACAATTTAAATTCTAATTTTAATAAAACATAGTGAATTATTTCAAATATATTGATTAACAGTCAGCCCAGCAACAGCGAGCCCAGAGTAGCCAAAAAACCGTTTGGATCTATTTGCATAAGGCTGGTCTCAAGAAGAAACTCGATGTATGGGACAAAACGCTCAGAACTTTTTACTTCACCCAATACATGAAATATCTAAATATTTCCATGAATTATTTCCAAATAATTTTATAATGTGCTTATTAAATCGTTGTAAATATTATAATTTGCGAACCAATCGAATAAATTGTATAGATTTACACTAAATTGTAATGAGATTTATATTTGATTGTTATATCATGTTAAATATTGAAATTTGTAAATCAAATCAATTATTTTCTATAATTAAATTAATTAACAAACGTCAAATAATTTTCATTTGGATCGGTTTAATATATCGTGTTTTGAAAATTAGATGGCGTATCGCAATGAAATGTTATTTCGAAAACAAATCGAATATCGAAAATAACAAAAAATCAATGCGAAACCTCAATCAAATCCAACGGAAATTTGTTTATTTAATTTAAACATTTCAATTTGTTTTGCAAATACATATTATATATTTTATATAGAAATATAAATAAAATATACCAAAAAAAACAAAACAAATTTAAATATATTTTGAATTGGAACTTTATTAATGCCCAAAAAAACAGTTTTATTTAAACCCCATTTTATAAAATCTATATTTTTTTTTAAAGATTAAATTTTATTTATTTATTATTGCCTAATAGCCGAATGGTTAAGAGCGACTTAACCAGTGCCAGTGGTTCAAATCCTGGTCAAGCCAGGCCCTTTGTGAGCCCTCTCGATGCTTGTAACAATAGGGCCATCGTGCATCACAGATGGACAGGGAAATGAATGCATATGGACCTTCAGCCAAGTCCATGGACAATGACAGTGTTAAGGATAGCAGCAGATTCACAGTCAAAGGAAATAGTGGAATCGCAGAGCATCAATATACCATTGAAGTTCATCTACAAGACGACAGCCAACCTACAAATTAAAAATTAAAAATCATCATAATGGTAACTATCCATCGGGAAAGATGGACATTAGGTAGATACTAATGTCAACCGCGATCTTAAATTTACTCCATGTTAGGTTTTGTAAAATTGCACTTGAATATTCATATAATTCAGTTAAAGGTTAAAACATAGAATCTCTCAATGAAAGAAGTGTTAAAATTCTATTTTTGTTAATTAAAATTTAGTTTATTTTTTAATTTTCAAACCGGACTAA